ATCCGACATCCTCCGGAACGGGGTGCCGACCCTCGCTGGGGCCGGGGGACGTATCGCCCCGTCGCTTTCGCGGGGGGCGACGGAGCGGCACCTCGTCTTCCATGGCCCCTTCGTCATCTTCCGGGACGCGGCCAGGGTCCACCGGTGGGGTCGGCCCGGGCTTCTCGTACTCGCGGTAGTCTTTCCAGATGTTCGGATGAATAACGGATACCTCTCGTGGAGAGGGACGAGCACGGCGCGCGTCGGGCTTCCAGCTCTGCGCAGTGACGTTCCCATCGGCGTCTCGCACGAAGATCAGTGGGTCGGTCGTCGCACACACCGCCGACTTGAGGGCGACGAAATTCTTAAAGAGGTCGTCCAAGACGACTTGCTTCCCGCGCACGCTCGCGTCCCGATGAAGTCTGACCTTCATCTTTTGAAGCTCCCGGGAGAGTCCGCCCACGGTCCTCAGCCGAGTGCTGGCTGCGTCTACGACCTTGGTCAATGCTTCCCAGAACTCGGTCAGCGTCTTGGAATCTACGTCGCGCGTCTTGTCGCGATCGGCGAATCGTCTGTGTAGATCGTTGAAATAAGTACCGTTGGTCTCATCCCGGACAGACTTCGTCAGTATCGCGATCACCGCAGGGAGGTCGAGCTCAGGAATCCTCGACATCTTCGTGACCTATACTCACGCCAATATTTTCCGACCGGCGACCGCCCGCGCTCAGATCATACAGCCGCTCCGCGTCCTCCGGTGACATCGATCGTGCCTCTTCAGAGCCCAAGATGATGCTGACCTTCGCGCGTTCAACTCCGGGGATCTCACGCAAGCGTCGGAGGACCGCATCGAATGCTCGATTCGAGCCGACGAAGAGAATGTTCCCATGGGTCCAAACCCACGGAGGGAGTCCATCGATCCCGGACACGATGGTGCAGCCCGGATAGGAGCGGAGGCTGTCGAGATCTCCCTGATCGCACAGGACGAAAACGTGTCCGTCCTGTTCCTTCACGAATCTCACGGCCGCGCTCTCGATGTCACCATCGGTGCGAAAGACGGCGCCCCGTTCGTTGCCGGGGCCCGTAGCGACCACGCTCGATCTCACCCCCTCGTGACCCCGAGAGACCCTCTCGAGGCTCTTCGATATCAATCGCATCTCCGCCGGCCGCCGATCCCCGATCGCCTCGAGACGTCGTTTCGCTTCTTCGACGATCCATGCCCGTCCGCTCGCCTCCGAGTTTCCCGTATCAGGCCGCTCTGGCAGAGACGTCTCCCGCTCATCCCACGAGGTTTCCTCGAACGACCGCTTCAGTGCTGCGAGGCGTTCCATGACCTCTCTTTTGAGAGCATCCAGCCCTCGACCGAGTGGTCCCTCCTCGGTTCGTCCTTCTCCACCATCGGGATCGCCGTCCCCCCGGTCGCCTTGTTCCGACCCTTCTAGAGGACTCTTCGGTGGCAACGTACGGACGTCATCGATGGGAGAGAATCCGACTCTGCGCTCACCCTTCCTTCCGATCTCTACTCGCTTCGCAGAAGCTCTTCTTTCCGCATCCGATATCAGAAACGCCGACGCGCTCTCGACGCCTCTCTCCAGGTTCTTCCCATACTCCTCTTTCAACCACCTCTCGATCTCCAGGGCTTTACCCCGGGCCACATCCTCGTGCGACTGGAGTGGAATCGGTCTCACCGTCGTCGCCTCCTCGCGAACGGGTTCCGCCACACGGCCGGTCGTCTGTTTCGATTTTGCCCTCTTGAGCTCCGCCTGCGCCCATAACTCATCCACTTCCCGTCTCGCCGCGTCTCGCATCGCAGCAGCCTTCTCTGCTGCCGTCGTGTCTGGCCTCTGGGTGTCATCTTCCGCACCCTCTCCCTCTTCCTCGACCCTCCTCTGGGCTTCCTGCCGGGCATCCTCGGCCTTCGCCTCTTCCTCAGCCCTCGTCTGGGCCTCCTGCCGGGCCGCCTCCGCCCTCGCCGCTTCCTGAGCCCTCATCTTGGCTTCCTGCCGGGCCGCCTCCGCCTTCGCCTCTTCGAGAGCCCTCGTCTGGGCCTCCTGCCGAGCCGCCTCCGCCCTCGCCGCTTCCTGAGCCCTCATCTTGGCTTCCTGCCGGGCCGCCTCCGCCTTCGCCGCTTCCTGAGCCCTCCTCTGGGCCTCCTCCGCCTTCGTCTCTTCCTGAGCCCTCCTCTGGGCCTCCTGCCGGGTCGCCTCGATCGTCCCGATATCCGTGTATAGACTCTGCATCGACACGCTGCGGGACGCTCCGGGGACGGGCCTGAGCAGGTCCGGTTTCGTTTTGAAGATCCCGTCGAAGAGCTGGTCGGAAGTGGGATACGTGTCGGTTATGACGACGCTGGGGAAACCGAATCCGTCGGCATCCGTGTTCTGTCTGAACCCAGCGACGAACGGACTTTTATAAGCGGTGTTCAAAAAACGCAGCAAGCCGGGGGCGCTATATGGCTTCGTCGAGAGTGCTGCGGTGAGTGTATTGGCGAACTTGAAAGCGTCCACATCGTAGCGATTCGGGTTGTCGGGGTTCGTATAGGGCCAACGGACTTGACGGTCGTACGCATCTTCGGTCAGTAATCCGTTCGCGACCACACCTTTGAATTCCGCACGAACGGAAGCACCGAACGGGCGGGGTTCGTGCTTCACGCCTCGATCGAAGTCGTACACCTTGACGTCATAACCGAAAGACGGTAGATAGAAGACGGTCTTCCTCCCCGTCCTGTCTGTGTATTCGTAGGATTTGTGCCCGATATCCGAGGTCGCCACCAGCATAACATTATTCAAATGCAAATCCAAGTGCAGGATTCCCACCCGGACCAAGCACTCGATGGTGTACAGCACGTCTATGAACACGCACCAGAGCTGTGGCTCAGTCAGTGAGTCTCTCGTGAACAAATCCGCCAACAGCATGCCGTCGACGTACTCCGTCGCGAAGGAGCCGCGTCCCCGGACTTCATCGGGGCGTATCCCCTTCTGGATCCCCTTTTTGGCGGTGTATCTGCGCACCAGCTGCACGACATGCTGCTCCTTACCCACCAGCTGCTGATTCGTCGAGAGATGCGAGAGATGCGGAGCCTCCACCATCCGCATGATGCCGGCGGTGATGCCGAGGTCCAACATCTTGTTGCAGTACCCATACAAGAAGTACTCCGTACTCCCACCGGAAGCGTCCGCCGCCGTCATACCACCGCGTCTCCGTGGGTAGATCTTCAGCACCACCTCCTTAGAGGTCCGTCGAGTCCTGTCGAATAGTCTCTTCACGAAGATCGCACCCGACGCGCTGGCCTCGAAGGATATCACTTCGTTACGCCTGTCGTCGACGAGCATGTTGTCTTCCGGACGCAACACGGCCGGCACACCTATCGGAGCGGCGCTACGAACGACGGGCACACGCCTCGGGACTACGGGCTGAACCGCACCTCGAAAGGGACCTCTCGACGGATTCGGAGGCCCGAAGACCCCCCTGGCGACAGCAGCACCGCTCGGCGCGGCGGCCCGAACCGCGCCTCTAGGGGGGGCGAGACGGGAAGGAGGCATCGACGGCGGCGACTCGTCGGGGTCCGGAGCCTTGAAACCCCTCCGAGCCGGAACGGGAACCGGTGCAGCGGCGGCACCCCTGTCTCTCGCTCGAATGTTCCTCGGCGTCAGCCCGGCCAGGATGTTCGCCACCTCATGCGTCTTACCTCCCGTTGCATCGAACAAGGCGTACGTGGTCCTGATGTTACCCTTCGGTTTGAGCGTGAGCTTTCGTATGCGGCCTACGCTCATGGAGTCGACCACCGCTCGCACGGTTTCGGGGACCGTCTGCCACCTTCGAACCGGTAAGGCTCGATTCGAATGTTCCACCATGTAACCACCGTCGTCCGCCGTCACCGTGAGCGTACTGGCGTACGTGCTCTCGACCGTGATCTGGAAGGGCCTCTTGAGCGGACTCTCGAGGATCCGACTCAGCACCGCATAGGGATCCTCCATAGATTCCTACACTGGTGCGACATAAAAGACTCTGGTTCCTCCGCGCTGTCGCGGTATTTGTTTCTTTCGATGGTATCACTACCGCGTGAGATGGACAACGTGTTGTATTTCCATCCTCGCTGTGCCTTCAGCAAGGACTTGATAAACGGCGTGCGGCGGATCCCATCCCTGGCGGCGAACCTCAGGACCGTGGATGTGAGCGTGCAGCGACCGCGGCATCGCATCGCCGAAGTTCCCTGCGTCGTTTACGAGGGGCGTCTCTACCAGGGCAGCGAGGCCTTCCGTTGGCTCAGCTCCCTGCCGACGCGCGGGGGCGAAGGTGCCGCTTCCGATGGGGCGCCAGGGAGTTCCGAGACTCGACCGGCGGTCGAGTGTTCGAGGCACGCCGACTCTTCGACCCTCCGCTTCGTCGACTTCAACGCCGAGCATCCGTCCGTCACCATGGCCCCCGAGTGGTACTGCTCGTTCTGAGCGACACTTAAGAAAGCTCAGGGTACGATGTCTCGCAAGGCCCGACCCGAACCACGATGGCGTCCCCCGACGGCAAGTACAGCATGCACATACGGACGGTACAGGGCAGCTCCCTCAAGGGCCTCTTCGAGGTGCTCAAGGAATTGCTCAACGATGTGAACGTCGTCGTCAACGCTTCCGGCATCAAGGTCCTCGCGATGGACTCCGCTCAGGTGACCCTGTGCCACTGCTTCCTGGAGGCGCAGAACTTCGAGGTCTTCCACTGCCCCGAGACGGTGGTGATCGGCCTCAACGTGCAGAACCTGTACAAGCTCCTCAAGACCGTGTCCAGCCAGGACACCCTCACCCTCCAGATCGAGGAGGACTGCCCCAACGATCTCGAGATCATCATCCAGAACAGCGAGAAGAAGTCGAAGACCTTCTACAGGCTCCGCCTGCTGGACATCGACGACGACCACGTCAAGGTGCCCACCGTGGAGATGACCACCTGCATCACCATGGCGTCCGTCGACTTCCAGCGCCTCATCAGGGACATGCTGACCGTCGGCACGGTCCTGAGGGTGCGAATGAAGAAGCGAGAGGTCATCTTCGAGACGTCGGGCGATTTCGCGAGCCAGCGCACCATCCTGGAGACATCGGAGGTCAACGAGACCGACGACGAGATCGACCTGTCGTTCTCGCTTAAGCTTCTGTATCTGTTCTCGAAGGCCAGCACCCTGAGCACCACCTGCTCGCTCTGGCTCCAGGCCGACTTTCCGCTCGTAGTGCAGTACGCCGTAGGCAACCTCGGACACATCCGTATGTTACTGGCCGCAAAGACCGTCTGAAAAACCGCCGCACGGCGCGCGGACCGTGTCGTCTAGTGCCCTCATCAAGCCGTCTACGACCTCTCTCGACGTGGAGCGTGTTCCGAATATGTTCCCCACGCACGGGATGCCGATCGTACAACGCTCGGGAGCGAGCCGCAGCATGGCCGAGAAACCTTCGTATGGCGTGCCCGCTTCCGCGGCACCGTATATAACGACCAGCGGCCCCCGGCCCACGTCGACGCATATGGTATGTCCCGGCGTCCCAGCTCGGCGCCGCGCCGGAGTGAGCCCCAGCCCATCACACGTCGTCGCGGCCTCTTCCCGCAACGTGGGGAACGCATCCTCCAACGCGTCCCATGCATCATCGTCCGGCGAACAATTGACGTACGCGAAGACTGCATCCATGTCCGAATCGACCGCATCCCTCATGCTCATGACCCTCCATTCGATGAGCACCGTGCGGACCGTGGCCACCCCCGGTCGGCCCACCGCGCTGCGGACGGCATCCAAGAGCAATGGGTTCTCGTCGAAGAACACCAGCCCGAGCATGATGCATGACACGCGGGACGAAAGTCGAGCGACGCGAAGTGCGTTCCGACAGACCTTCTCTTCGAACCACGTCACCAGAGAGAGCGCATGGGGACCATCGACGACATTCAATTCCTGCTAGAAAACAGCGTAGAAGAGTCGTATCTTTTCATCGTGGACTCGGACACGCGCGACCGAAGGATATTTCCCGAGCCCAACCTGTACGCCGTCCAATTCGACTCGCCCTTCCATAACGTGGTCGGCATAGACATCATCGATGGTACCATTCCCAGGACCCAGTACGCCGTAGACACCGTCTGCAATAGGCTGTGTATCGACTACGGGAAAGGGCCCACGACCATCGAAATGACCACCGGCGACCACACCGACACGTCTCTCGTATCGGACATCAATTCCAAGCTCTCCGCCCTCCCCGGATGTACGGTCTCCGCGCGCTCCGTCTCGACACCACCGGAGCTCAAGAACCTGATCACCTTCACGGCACCCAACATCCCCTTTCACATCTTCGCCGACGAGCGGTCCACGGTCAAGCCGGTCATCGGCTTCGATGAGTACGCCGCCAACCACAGGTACCTGGGCGATCGCTTCTCGTGCCGGGATCCGGTGCACGCGCCCGCGGTATACTCCAGCATCGCCAAAGACCCGATCCCCGCCAGCACCTTCTCCACCCAGGATGTCGCGGACACCGTGATCCCATTCGCGGACCCCTCCGCCCCTACAGTACCGCGACTCGTCGGCATCAGGTTCAGCCCCGAACAGAGCGGGCTGATCGACCGCATCACGCTCGCCTTCAACATAGTGGCTCCGTTGGCGGGTGCCGTCACTTTCTATATCGCGTCCGACGACGAGGTCGAGTCCGCTCCCGGGGCCCCGCTCTGCCCGCCGACCTCCGTCGCGGCTCAGGAGTGCGGCGACCACGGTCTCACGACGCTGCAGCTCCAGACCGAGATAGGTCTGACCGTCGGCAAGAACGCATGGCTCGTGGTCTCCGCTCAAGGACCGTCGGACGGCCTCTACGCGGGGTCTTCCGGCAACGCTCTCGTGAAAGCGTCATCCGACGGAGGGGCGTCTTGGAACGGCTGGACTTCGGGCCACTGGAACCCGCTCATGAACGTGCAGGTCACACAGTCCACGCAGACCATCATCGGGCCCGGCATCCTCAACCTGGTCGGAGACAGCTACTGCATGCTCCGGTGCGACGAGATCGAGAGCCACACCCTCAGGAGCAGGGCCTTCGAGAAGTACACGTTCGGGCTCGCCAGGTTCACGCTGGCGGTCGTAGGCTTCGCGACGAGCCGCCTCGATTACAACGCGGTCACCCCACGTCGGGTCCACCCCATCAACTCCCTCTCCACATTCACCTTCCGATTCGTCAGGCCGGATGGCGTCACTCCCTACGACTTCAAGGGCGTCAACCACTCTATCATCGCCTCGATCCGATACCTGGTCCCGAAATCCACCGCCGCATTCGACGACAAGATCCTCAACCCCGGGTACGAGCCGAATCCGCTCCTCGGATACGCGGCAGTCACGACCGACTCAGACCCGGACTCCACCGCGGACCCAGACGAGGACGACGAGCTCGACGAGGTCCTCGGGAACCCGACCGCCAACGACGGCTTCTGGAGCAACGATTACCGGCCCCTCGATCCCGAGTACTGGTGATCCCGTTTCCCGGGTCTTACTCCAGACGACTGCCAGTGGTCGATGGCGCCAGCTCAAGCCGATGTTCCTCTAGATGCTGGCAACACAACTCTTCCGACAAGGCTTCCGTGCTTCTTTTGAAATGTCTCATGTCATATAAGTCGCGACGTTTCTGCATCAAAACAGCATACATCTTGGTTCCTTCATGGACATATGTTTCGTAAACAAGACCTAGTATGTCGGGGGTAGTGGACCAATAGTCATGGGTTGGATTTACGAGTACGATAGATCCAACTGGAAATATATGATGGAGTGATCGGCTTGTCGCATCCAGAGACGTCATTACGACTATCATGCTGTCGCCAAAAAAACCGAGCAATCGACCGCGATGGCTATACATGAATCTACACGAATTCGACGAGGTCCTTCGAAAACGACCGACATCGACATGCTTTTGGAGGAGCAGCATGATTTGCGGGTCTAACTCATCATCTTAGGCCCCTTGCATCCTCAGCGCACGTTCATTTCCGGTTCTTTCAGGCAAGGTGTTGTGCCACACATGGGCTTTTCATGCACAATGATATCCATGTACGAAGGAGATGCAATTTAATCTTTTCGTGCCACTAAGTAAATGGCAAACTGCAAACCGTCAATCACATATGATGAGATGCTCTCCGGCCTGTTTGATATTATCCGAGGTACGTTTGGGACAGGTATGACCTTCTCTCAATGTTTAGAGGCGGAAAATGCTCGAAGAATGCAGGAAATTACAGACACGACGTCGCCACAATGTCAGACTCTGATCGCCCAGATGCAACACGTTCAAAAGTGCCCGCGACGAGCAAAAGCTCATACGTGTACGAAAGCTTGTGGCCTTCCTGGCTGATGTGCTCCATAGTCAACGAGGCGTATTCCGGCGTGGAGCAGTTTTTGAGAGCTAATTGATCCGTGATGCACTCTATCTATCATCGATCGGATCCCTCCGCGGCTCATCCGGTCCGTTTGCACATGGTCGCTATGACGCCCGAGAGGCCTACGGTGAGGATCAGCGCGGCCGTGGAATCGGTCAGGGACGCGCTGAGTCTGCGCAAGGCATAACACGGGGCGCTCGTGTTGGATAGCATGCTGCTGAAGAAGCCCCTGGAGCAGTATTGGACGTGGACCGCATTCGCGGCGTAGCGAACCGTGTGGCACGTCATGAAGGCCAACAGCGTACCGCCCACCGGCCGGCAGAGGGCGACCGTCGCATCCCATGCGTTCGTCCACATTCCCTTCTTTGTCGAAGCGCCTATATTATCCGGCATAGACGGACGCATGGGTGCCGACGGTTACGAGGAACTCGAGGTGCCGGGCGACGGTTCTTGTCTGTTCCACGCCGTCCTGACCGCATACTTCGCCGAAAAGAAAGGGAGGCTGCCCGTCTACGCCGACCCTCGGAAGCTCCACGAAACCTCCCTGAAACTGAGGGAGCGAGCGGTCCACCACGTCCTCCGACACTACGACAAGCCACTCGGGGACGGCTTCGACACGGGCAAGGACCTCATCATGCTCGAGTACGGCAGCTCGGAGGGCGACCCGCTGGGGCCACCCATCCGCGATCCGGTCCAATACCTGAAGCACATGAAGCACCCGACCACCTTCGCCGGCAACACCGAGATCGTCGCACTCTCCCAGATACTGCGCTCGACCATCACGGTAGTGCAGGCCGGGGTGCCCGACCAAGCCTACCGCTTCCCGCGACCCGAAGCCACCATACGCGTCCGTTTCGACCCCTCCTCCAAGCACTACACCCCTCTCGTGAGGCAAGATTACGCCCGCCTCACGTGACCTCCGGGCGGCCCTTCGACAGCTCGTTGTTGATCCTGACGAGCAACTCCTCGTCCGCGTGCCAGTCTCCGATCGGAGCCTTCCAGAAGGTGCCGGATAGGGCGTTGTAGATCGCTATGTGGTTCACCACCATCCCCTTCAGCCTCGCGAGAGCAGCATAACACAGCAGCTGGATTACCCACGTCGCCTGGACGCCCGGCTCCGTGGACGTCTTGACGTCGATGAGCAGATCCCCCATGATGATGTCGGCCACGCCGCGCAACGACCTCGTGGACAGTTCCTCGTCCATGCCCACCCCGAACAGCCGCATCATGGACTCGGGGGTGAACACCCGAGGGAGGACCGCACCGTCCGGCGGGGATCGGCCGTGCTCGCGCACGAGGGCCGCAGCGACCTTCCGAGTGCACCCGAAGAGGCCCAGGTTCTTGTCCCTCCGCAGGTCCCCCAGGTGCAGGTCCTCGAACACGAAGTGCGTCTTGGCCGGCGGGTACGCGAGGTGCGCGCAGACGGCGACGTCCGCGATGGCCCGGAGCGCCTCCCTGCTCTCCGTGTCGTGCTGGACCTCGTTGATGTACCGGACGTACGACCCCCTGATGCGCTCCACCGCCGCGTCGAAGCGCTTCGCCTTCGTGCCGGAGTCCTTCGCCGCACCCCCGCCGCGCAGGTACGCCGGCAGCCGCCTGGCCTCGTAGTGAACCTCCACCGCGGACGCGTCGCCCAAGCCGAACTCCGCCGCACTCGCGCTCACGGCCGCCTCCACGTCCTTCTCCGTGACCTCCGGTCCGTTCCACCGGCTCTGGTACCCCTTGACCCACAGGAAGCACCGATTCGCAAAATGATCGATCATGCGGACCGGCACGTCCGGGCCGACGCAGGCCGAGAGCACCTGCCTGTATATGACCCTCTCCACCGCGGACGCATACAGGAAGTGCACCTCCCTGGCCGTTCGAAAGGGGTCATCCTCATCGCAGAATATAACGGCATCCTGCTTTATCATGGATATGGCATGATCCCGTACGAAGTCCATCATTCCGCCGACGAGGGCATCCACGTGTTGATACTCCAACCGAAACGGGCCGTGATTCGCGGTGACGAGCTCTCTCAGCCTGACGTACACGTCATACACCTGGTCTGAGATCTCGATGGAGTGGTACTCCTTCACGTTGCTCAAAAATGCGATCGAATATACCGTGGTGACCGACAACGTCTGCGAGAAAGATCTGGCCATCCTGGGAGCCGACGTTTCCTATCCCGATCATTTTTTCCTGCCACTACGGGACGCGTCGCGCTAGTTTCTCCGCCTCTTCGACGACACGGATGAGACCTCCTCCTCGTCCTCGTCCTCCTCGTCCCCACCTTCTTCTGCGTCTTCGGGGCCTGCTCCGAGTGCGGAGTTGCCTTCGCCGGCGCCTCTGCCCGCCTTGGCCTTGTTACGCCTGATCGATGGCTTCGTCGTCACACCCCTCTTATCCATGATGTAGTGCGCGATCTGGTCCGCCTTGGAAGCCGACGTGGAGTCGCCATTCTCCTTGAAGTACCTCGCGATGAGGTCGTTCAAAATCTCCTCGCTCAGGGCGTTCTTCGACTTGGTGTGGATGAGCTTCACCCGCTCCCCGTTTATGTTGACCGTCCCGATCTCGTGCGCGCTCATGTAGGTCATGATCCCCTCTTTCAGTTCCTTGATCCGTCTGATCATCTTCGAGATGTCCTTCGCTGCCTGGGCCTTCACGTCGTTCAGCTGCACCCACTCGCGGACGTTCTCTGTGAAAGTCGACGAGATCTGGACGTCGGCCATGTTTTTGGGATGTGTCGCTAGAATGTTCTGGCCCCCTCGAACGCGCTGCCGAGATCATGGGGGCTCGGCTTCCTTATGCCTCGGGGCGAGGCCGGGCCATAATATCTACCGGTAAGGTACTCCGTGATGGTCCCGAGATCCGCCACGTACGTGGTCTGGGCAGCTTGCTTGCTGACGTGTCTTCTGAGCGCTGGGGTGCGCGCCGACGAGTCCTTCTCGTGGGGCATATCCGACGCCACGGTACGATTCGCCGGGCACGACTGGTTTGTCAAGGACTCGACGACCGTGCCTCTTCAGCCCGGCCCTTGCTTCTGGAACCCAGCGAACGTGAGGAGCGACGGCACCGGCCTTCGTCTGAGCGTGGACAAGGCTCCCTCCGGCGCGTGGATGTCCAGCGAGGTGATGATCGACACCAGCTTCGGATACGGCCGGTACGAGTTGGAGGTCAACGGTGCATTGGGCTCGCACGACCCCAACATCATTTTCGGGGCGTTCATCTGGGACGAGACGAACGGCGCTCACTACAACGGAGAGACCGACATCATCGAAGCCTCCCGCTTCGGCGACCCCTTCAACCCTTTCAACGCTCAGCAGGTCATCGCACCGTGGAACATGGACGGCCGCATCAACAGGTTCGCCCTACCGGAAGACACTCCCTACGCCGTCCTTTCGGTCGATTGGACCGCATCCGACATCGTCTTCCGGGTCGAGAACCCCGACACCGGCTTTGCTACGTCCTGGTCGCCTGCCGACAAGAGCATCATACCGAGACCGACCGGTTTCGAACGCCTGCATCTCAACGCATGGCAGAACTTCGGATCGGGACCCTGGTACGGCGCTCCGGTCAGCTTCACGGTGACGTCCTTCACGTTCTCGCCATCCACGGGCGCATCGGTGGTGGTGCCCCCGAAGAACGTCTCGGTCCCCTTGCCGGCCCCTTCGGAAGGTCCTCTCAACGTCTCGGCACCGATACCGACCCCATTCGCGACCCTCGCGGTGAATCTTACGGCCGCGACGCCGAACATCACGGGCCCGACGGCGCCGAACCTCACGGGAACGAAGGAGCCGCTCGCGTTTCCGCCCGCCCCCGCGCATGCCCCCACGACGTCCGCTCCCACCTGGGCTCCCGGACCCTCACCATCGCCTGCGAGCCCCAACTCGATGCCTCCCCCTGCGACGCGGCCGCCCATCGTCCAGAGCCTGACGACCCTGGTGGGCTCCGCGTCCCGGATATCGGGAGCCCTGTCCGCCATCGGTATCTTGACGGCCCTCATGTCGCTTCTATAGGACTCACGTCGACCTTGCTGACGCCGTCGAAGTAGAGTCCTTCCAGACAGCTATCCCGTTTCCACCAGCGCGAAGGAAGCGCGACGAACTTGTCGGGATTCTCGTTCAGATAAGCCCCGAACCAAGAGAAGGTCGAGTTCGCGCATATGCCCCCGAACCTGCACGCAGCCATGAGGTATAAAGTATCGACTTCATCCAGGCCCTCCACGAACACGACGTCGTCGAAGGCCCGGAAGACGTGATCGTCCTTGCAATGCCGGATATCGTCGCTGACCACATACAGTCGGAAGCCGGAGGGCAGTCTCTCTCCTGCCATCCGCAGGGCCCTCTCGTAGTAGGCCCGGAGATCCAGATCGTGGACCGAGTGCGCGGGGCTCTTGTAATCGCCGCGTCTTACGTGCACGAAGAGACCTTTCGATGTCGCGTCCGGGTAGATCTCGCCCATGCGTGCCTTTGCGGCAGCGGTCCCTAGCATGTCAGAGAGGCGACGGCGATCCACGACGTCCTCAAAGTGGTGGTGGCTCTGGAAGTACCCGACGTACATCACGCTCTCTACTCCGGCCGTGAACGGACACCCGTACGCGATCCGTCTCCAGACGTCGTCCGGCCGTTCGCCGATGACTCGATCGATGCGCCCGGCCGGCTTCACGAAGGGCCGGAATTGAGCGAGGAGACCGTCGAAGTAGTCCAACGCGGAGTGAGGGTTCCGCGAAGCGGACGAGATGCGGAACTCGGCGCCGTATCGGCGTGCTTGTGCGAGCCCGAAGAGGACTTGAAAGAGTCGATTGCCCAGACCGCCCTGGACGTGAACGTTGACGATGCGCATTCCTTCTCTGGAGGGGGGTTGCGAGAATACTCGCCCGACGCCCCGCGTTCGGCTGCTCCCATTTTCCCGTGAGACCGCAGAACCGGATGGACGACGCGCTGCGACACAGCACGGCCATCCTCGCCCTCCGAATCGACAGCGAGGACAGACTTCGAAACACCAGGCGTTGCCTGGTCTATCTGCTGTCCCGCTTCGCTGGGCTCCGGATCATAGTCCGCGAGGACGGCGTCGAAGCGCGGGTCCGAGAGCTCCTGCGTTCGGCGGATGTGGCCGCGTACGGCGACAGGGTGCGCTACTCTTTCGTGGAGGAGCACTCCGAGATCTTCCACAGGACGAAGCGGCTCAACGAGTGTCTGAAACAGGTCGAGACACCGGTGACGATAATCCACGACGTCGACGTGATCCTGCCCGTTACGAGCATGCTGGAAGCGCAGCGCATGATAACAGAGGAAGGCTACGGTGCGGTGACGCCCTTCACGAACCCTCCTGGTTGCACGGACGTCCCTCAGTGGGACGCCGACCTGCTGGTGTCTGACGTGTCCACTCACGACAGGCTAGCCGTGATCCACCGCAACCACTTCGCGGGAAACGGTTTCAGCCTCTTCGTCGCCACCAAACGATACGCCGAAGGGGGAGGGGAGAACGAGGACTTCGTGTCCTACGGACCCGAGGACGATGCTCGCCTGTACAGCCACACGAGACTCGGCTTGAGGTACGGGAGGGTGCGGGGGAGGGTCTTTCACATGGAGCATCAGAGGGGCGTCAACAGTTCTCCTTCGAACCCCTTGTTCGTGTCCAATGTGAGGGCGTTCCAGCGGATCAAGGCGATGGATCGTACCCAGCTCTCGGAGCATTTCATGAGGCGCAGGATCGCCTTGGACCACGCCGTTCCGGACGTCGCTCCTGCTCCTTGAAATTTTCGGGCTAAATTCCAACATGCCAGCGCTGGAGATGACTCTGGTGAAGACGGAGTCGGCCCCTACGATCGCCGAGATCATGGCTGCCGCGGCCTACTGCGTGCACACGGACGACGTGGTGGAGGCCGTGTCGCAGAGAAACACGCCTCTTACGCTCTGCAAGGCGCAGTTCGAAAACGCGGGGGCTTATGTGGAGTTCGTGGAGGTTTTGAGACGTCTGTTGGAAGCGTCCCTCCACGTCGCGTCCTCCCCGTGCGCGAACTGCGGCTTTACGGACGTTGCTCTCTCGAGGATGCTGAACTCGAGGAATATGACCTTGGTGACGTTCCGAGATGAGAGGGAGCGAAAAGGAGCGGGCTCCGTGACGTGCGACTTCGACAAAGACTCGTGCATCGTGTACCTCGAAGGCGCGTCCGACGGCACCGCGCGAGTGAAGAGAGTATGTGCCTGCTGAGGCATAAGTATTCGGTGTATACTCGCCCTACAAAAGCGCGTCGGCCTCCGTGAAGTTTTTCATTATTCGATCACAAAGGTGTAAAGATGGTTTGCGACAAGAGATGCGGGCGCCGCTGGTATGGGCACGTCAAGGGCAAGGCGGAGTTCTGCCGTGAGCACAAGCGGGACGACATGGTGGCGGTCTACGGACTCTGTCAGGAGGACGGGTGTATGACCAGGGCGACTTTCGAGGCGACGTCGAAGAAGACGCACTGCGTGGCTCATGCGTCGGAGGCGATGAAACGGGTGGATAAGGTGCGCACGTGCGCCGCACCCGGCTGCAAGAAGGCGCCCACGCACAGCGCCCCCGGTCAGGCGGCTTTGCACTGCAAGACGCACGCATCGGGGGAGATGACGAAACGCTACACGTCCAGGGACTGCCGGGCGGACGGTTGCGAGGTAGAGGCGACCTTCGGCCCGCCGGGCGAGCCGGCCGCGTTCTGCGGAACGCACAAGGCGCCGCATATGGTGCCGACGAAGGGCCTGAGGTGCGAGGTGTGCAGCACGCGGGCGAGCTTCGGACGTGCGGGCGAGGTGGCTCGGAGGTGCAGTGATCATAAGGAGGAGGGCATGGTGAACGTCAACTACGCGGCGTGTCGAGTGGAGGGGTGTTCTAGGGGTAGATCTCACGGTCCGGCCGGAGGAGAGGCTCTGTTCTGCAGCCACCACGCGGAGGCGGGGATGATCAATCTGAGGGAGAAGCTCTGCTCGGCGGAGGGGTGCTCGGTAGAGCCTGTGTTCGGCTACCCGGGAGAAGAACGCACGATGTGCATGAAGCATAAGGAGGAAGGGATTATCAACGTGAAGAAGAAGACGTGTGCGTCTGACGGCTGCCCGCTAGCTGCAACTTTTGCGTCACCCGGACGGGTGAGGGCTTGGTGTGCCGAGCACAAGACCGAGGGGATGGAGAATGTATCGCGCAAGAAGTGCGACGAGCCAGGATGTCAGCACCAAGCAACGTACGGTCTTCCTGGGACGGCAACCAGCCGATGCGGACGGCATATGCTTGCGGGATTCGTGAGCCAGAACCTGCACAGCTGCATCTCGTGCGGATTGTCGTACCGGATCCCAAAGGATACCCTGTGCGGCTACTGCGACCCCGATGGACGGTTGCGAAAGGCGACGAGAGAAGCTGTTGTTGAGGAGCACTTACTCAAAACGTTTCCCGATATCCCCTTCAGGCACAACCAGAGAGTTCCGGGCAGGTTCTGTAGCGACGAGCGACAGAGGCCAGATTTCTTGTTTGACATGGGGACGCATCTGGTGGATGTGGAGGTGGACGAGCAGCAACACAATCGCCATCCAGAGGAGTGCGAGCTTGCGAGGATGTACAGGATCGTGGCGACGTCAGGACTACCGGTCCGCTTTATTCGTTACAATCCCGACGCATTCAGGGTCGGAGGCCGTTTGGTCACCGTGGAACAGGAGAAGAGGTTATCGGCGTTGACCGATGAAATCAGGAAGGCTATGGAACATCCCGAGCCTGGAAGGATGATCGACGTTAGGCACCTGTTCTATGACCACCCCATGGAGGTCGGGCAGGAGGACCGTTTTGTACAGGACGTTTCAGAAGAGATAGGGTCGACTATAGATAACCTCATTAGGCACAAAGTTATATACACTGTAGAATTCGATAAGCAGCAGTAAGCCAGCGTATGATTTTGTTGACACTCATTGTAAATGCCACCTTGTCCCGCGGCGTTCAAGTCTCAGGAGGATGCCAACCTCTCCATGCGTGCGTTCTCATGAAATGTGTACGTGACGAAAAATTTTCTATGCATATGGTATCAGCCTTCGCCCGTCGCAGTCATGTCTGGAGGGTTGTTGTCTCTCGTCGCTCTTGGAGCTCAAGACTCATATCTTACCGGGAACCCTCAGATCACGTTTTTCCGAGTGGTTTACCGTCGCCACACGAACTTCGCCATGGAGTCGATCGTGCAGACGGCGAACGGGCAGATGGATTTCTCGAAGCGCACGAGCATCAACCTGAGCAGGAACGGCGACCTGATCACGAACGCCTGGCTGCAGGTGACGCTGCCCGCGCTGGACCAGCACGTGACGGTGGGGGGATCGACGTCCACGTACGTGCACTACGTGAACTCGGTGGGTCACGCCATGCTGAAGTCGGTGGAGATCGACATCGGCGGGCAGAAGGTGGACAAGCACTTCGACGCCTTCTACGAGGTGATGGACGAGCTGGAGGTGCCGTCCGAGAAGAGGGCCGGCCTGAACGAGATGCTGGGCCGGTACGACGAGCTGGACACCTCGACCACGGGGAGCCTGGTGAACCAGAGCGGGCAGAGGACCTACTACGTGCCGCTGAGGTTCTGGTGGAACAAGCTGCCGGGCCAGGCCCTGCCCCTGCTGGCGCTCATGTACCACGACGTGCGCATCAACATCGAGTTCCGGAGCGCCTTGGAGCTGGTGAAGTCGGACGTGGCCCTGATCCAGCCTACGAGCGGCGGCGCCCCGCTGAGCTTCATCGACGCCTCCCTGTGGGTGGATTACGTCTATTGCGATGCGGCTGAGAGAAAGCGTTTTGCGGGCGACGCGCACGAGTATCTCATCGAGCAGGTGCAGTTCACGGGCGACGAGTCTATCCCGGCCAGCGTCTCCTCGAGCACGCAGAAGATCCGCCTCGCGTTCAACCACCCCGTCAAGGAGCTCATCTGGGTCATCACCCCCGAGACCTCCGCGGCCGTGGACCCCAAGAACGGCAACATGCTCTTCGACTTCGGCCAGATCGCCGGCGTCGACTACATCCAGAGCGCCAAGCTCATGCTCAACGGGCACGACAGGTACTCCGAGAGGCCCGGCACCTACCACCGCCTCGTCCAGCCCTACCAGCACCACCCCCGCGTCCCCAGCAAGCCCGTCTACGTCTACTCCTTTGCACTGGAGAGCTCCTCGCACCAGCCGAGCGGCGCGACCAACTTCAGCAGGATCGACAACGCCCAGCTGTACCTGACCACCAAGCCCAACATGCCCGCGGCCCGCTGCAAGGTGCTGGCCATCAACTACAACGTGTTCCGTATCCAGGGCGGCATGGGTGGACTTGCGTACTGTTCTTGATCAATGGGTGGTCTGACATTGGATTCTGGGCGGCGTGGCATAACATGAATCTCGAAAAGCACGATTTATAGGAGCATGCATGTATGACATCGCGCGAAACTCTGAAATGTTCGGGTGAAGATACACACGCGAGCATCTGAGAGTCGTTCAGAATACACGGTTGCGGCGTCGAATGTCCTGCGGAATGTCTCCAATGCTACGTTCTGCGCGACGGGCGATCTTAGTAATCTGCACCCGGACAGTCTCTAGTTCTATTCCTCCCTTCATATAATTGCATCCTCCACAAGCCGTGCGCAAGTTGCCTACGATATAGCCCTCGTTACAGTCCAGCCGATCGACACCGTTGGTGTGGGTGGCGAATTCTTTTTGCCGCATATGTAGCAGTCCTCGCGGCAGATCTTCTCCACGTCCTCTCTGGAGACCTCGACGGGAAGGTTCCTCAACTTGGCGTGACTGAGCAGTCCGGCATAATCGCCGCCCGTCCTGTGATCCGGAAAGAGCTCTACGGGACAGGTTCTTGCCTTCGTTCCCTCGGCTCTCCCGTCGATGTAGACGCACCTCTCCAAGAAGGTGAGCGCGTCCACCCTGCCCTTCATGCGCGAGCACGTCACGCAGAGGGGTACGAAATTCCGTGCGTCGTTGGTATCGTCATCCTGGTCCACCTTGCCGACCGTCAGGGGATGCTCGTCCTCTCCGTCACCGCAGAAGAAACAGCCGGCGCCCTTCTGCGAGATCAGATCAGTGCCGGTGATCTCCCCATCGGGACCACTCAAGATCAGGTCGCGATTGCGATGCCGGACCTGGTCGGCCGCCATCTTCTTGAGGTAACCCTCCGGATCCGCCTCCCGGCGACGCGCCCTCGAGTCGCGCGAGTACTGCGCGAAACGCTCCGGATCCGCCTCCTTTCGCGCCCTCTTGCTGGCTATCCTCACATCCGACTTCTCGTACTCGCGCTGCCTTTTCAATCGAGCATCCGTTATCGTACGGTTCCTCTCGGAACTCTCGCGCTTCTCCCGGCACCCCCTGCAGTACGCCCCCTTCGACGCGTCCTGCAATGCGCGCGCATCGAACTCGGACTCGTCCTTGGCCTTCTTGCAGGAGTTGCACACCACCTGCCCCGGCAGAAGACTCGCCACCGCCGCAGCCTCCCTCTTGGCGTCCACCTTCTTGTCCTTCTCCGCGTTCATCCGCTTGCACGCCTTGCAGCAGGACTTGTCGTCCGCGTCCAGCATGCCCAAGCACCCCCGCTTGACTTGGGTCGCCAGCTGCTTGCACTCGCGGCCTCCGGCGGCAGCGACCTCATCCTTGCGCTCCCACAGCAGCCGATGCTTGTTGCAATACCTGCTCGGAAGCCGAGCCTTGGATGTACACGGTGCCTTGGTCGTCTCGACGATCGCCGCGCAGGTGACCCCCGCCATCCCGAGTTGTGCTTGGATTGTGACAAAAATACTCCAGCAGACGCACCTTATATAGCCCAAGTCTACGGTGTATGCTTCTGGAGCCTCACTATCAGGATGGCCGCGTTCAGGGGACCGCGCGGTCAGCGGCCGGGTGCAATCGAGCAGGCTCCGCGAGGAGCCGCCGGAGCAAGACGGCGACGAGGCAGATGATCGCCGCAGCGACCGTGAAGAACACGCCTGTCATCACGACTCGCACGACCGCCATCGCCGATCCGACCGACTCCGACCGCACCTTGTATCGTTTTTACTGCCGGGATGTCGTCTTCTTCTTCTGCTTGGCGGCCACGATGTTGCCCAGCTTCTCTTGCACCTTGCGATCCAAGGCCTTCAGTTTGTCCTCGGTCTTGCTGTACAGCTTCTCGCATGCGTTGCGTTCCGCCACGGCCGCCGCCAGCTCCTTGTACAGCGGCAGCTTCCCCAGACACTTGAGCCCCTTATGTCTGCTTATCAGGCTCGCCGTCCCATCGTCTTGCTGAGCTCTGAGGGGCGAGACGGCCGCCGCCAAGAATCGCTGGATGTGGTCGGTCGTCTCTGCGTCCGTAGGCTGCACCGAAGACCGGGTGTGGGTGGGCATCGCGTTCCCATCCTATTCGCCGAGAAAATCTGTGAAATCAATTTATTCGAATTGCGGTCCGGTCTGCAGCATCCCAGTCCGGGACCGCTCGCCCGAATTTATATATGTGCTTTAATCCATCGACATTGGCGATGATCTACAGGAACGACCCCAAGAGAAAGGCCCCCGCCCTGTCCGCTACCAGCGTTCCGGTCGGAACCAGGCGGAAAGGACAAGATGGGACCACGCACGTCGTGGTGACGAACTGTTACGGCGTCCACCGCTGGAAGCGCGTCCTCTCGACCGCCGGGAAGCGCGCGTCCCCGAAGAAGCCGGCACGAGCGTCCGCGGCGCGGAAGCGGTCGACGAAGCGCGATGGGGTGAGGAGTGCCCCGTCGACGAAAGCGCACGACTCCCCCTCCGGAACCACTCGGAAGGGTTCGGACGGACGTACGTGGGTGGTCAGGATCACCAAGGCGGGGTACAAGACGTGGGTGCGTGCGTCTGCGAAATCGTCGGTGACGTCGTGGGGCGTGAAGAGAAAGCGTTCGGCGCGGCCGTCGACGAAGAAGGGACGGGCCGTGGGGTCCAAAGGCGTCGCGAAGAAGCGTTCGGCACAAACGTCGACGAAGAAGGGCTCCGGGAGCAGCGTGAAGAAGGCTTCGGCACGCCCAGCCGGTCGGTCATCGCATGCATCCGGTGAGGGTGGGGTCGACACGTCTCGCATCTCTTTATCATCGTTAGCCACCCAGGCTAAGGACGACGTTCACCCCGACCACATATTGTCGAAAGAGGCGCGAGCTATGATGGTGAGGCTGGCTACCCCGTTGGCGCGCGGGCTGGCCCGTTCGACCCTGCGCGGTGCCCTCTCCGCTTTCTACGGAGACTCGGAGGAACTCATCAGGCACTCGCTGAGCGAAGCGAGCAAGAAGAACACGCCGTTCGGTCAGTGTGAGGCCGTCCTCGCATACCTGATGGCGGAGTTGGTCGAGCTGTCCGGAAATGTTGCTTATTATAAAGAACGTCGGACCATAAAGGCCGATGACGTCCTGTTGGCGATTCGGGAAGATGAGGAGTTGCGCAGGCTGGAGAAGTACGCCTAAGTCAGGGTCCAGCCGGACACGTACTCGGGCACCTTCTTGGCTTGGTCCACCATGCGCAGTACGAAGTAGAGGCACATCCCCTGGATGAGGAAGTTGATCACAATCTGGACGAAGGGTCCCCATCTCATGATGACGGCCCCGTCCCGTCGAGCCTCCTCGATGCTGCGATAGGGCGCCTTCTCACCGCGCCTGATGGTGATGAAAGAGTCCTCCAACGAGTGCGTCGAGATCACCGAAAGGATGGGCCCCACGAGGTCGTCCACGAAGCTGGATACTATCTTGCCGAACAAGCCGCCCAGGATGGTTCCCACGGCGAGATCGAGGACGTTCCCGCGGCTGATGAACTTCATGAAGTCGTAAGTCTCGCCCTTCACCACCCCGCCGACCGCACCGAGCGCATCCATGTCTCGAACCCTTTGTGATAAGGCCAGAAATTCGCGGTGTCGTCGGTCGTCTCAACGTCTTCGCGGACGCCCCGGTTCTCGATAGCCTCGCAATACCCCAGATACAACGTTATGATGCCGGTCAGGCAGTACAGAGGACCGCACTCCATCGACGACCATATGATACGGGCTCATTTTTTCGTGCTCCTGTATCATACCGTTCGGAGCGAAGGATGTGGGATTGGTTTTGGAAGAGGCGCGCCGCCACCGACGAGAAGAACCTGTTGCGACGCATCGCCGACGGAAAGATCACCAAAGGTCCGCCGCGGAAGCGGTGGGGCGCCCCTCGTTATCAGGAGAAGACCGTGACCCTGCCTATCCTGGGAGCGCTCCCGAAGCGGGACTTGACGGATGCGGAGATCCTGATGTTGGGCGACATACGGAGGGGCGCGATGGATTCCGATCGGGCGACGGACGAGAACCTGGCGGCGTTCAGAGCACTGAGCCGCATGGACGTGGACGCGGGGGAGATCGCTCGTACCCGCCCCATCATCACGCGACGCAAGTACTACTCCCCCGGCATTCCGGCCGCGGATCAGGGGACGTACATGAGCAAGGTGACGTACGCAGCAGACGGTATCCTCGGCCGCTATTGGGATTCGAGGAACAAGGTCGAGTATCGCAGAGGGAGGGTGATCGGAGACGGCCCATTGTTCCAGAACTACTTGAACGATGGCTTCGCGTCCTACCTGCGTGGCTCGAAGAAGCCGTTGTATGTCATGGTAGTGACCGAGGGGCATATCGGGTGCATGCTCATCACGGCGTTCGCGTCCTCCGTCGCCGTGTACCTATGCATCGAAGCCTTCAATCTCGCACCCGCCGACGTCTACGATGTGACGAGCGGCATCCGCGACGCGTTCCGATCTCGGCGGCACTCGCTGTACCAGATGATTATGCAGGTTCCCGTACGCGAGTCGGAGTACGATCAGGCGAGACTGTTCATGCGCGCATCCGGAGGGACCGTCACGGAGTCCGTGGTGAGCGCATTTCCGAACGGACGGATCGCGAACGAAGGAACGGACGCACGGGTACAGAAGGATGCATTCGACTTGCACTGTCAGACGTGGATCGTCTTGTATCCTATACTGCGGCTCGTCATGAGAAAATCCATCATGGCGACGTCGAGATGGTTCGATAGCGTCGTTGTACAGCACGGGCATCGTTTCATCGACGAGGCGAGGGGCATCCTGGTCGAGCTGGCCGCAGATCCGCCCCGCGCACTCCGGCTCATCAAAAAATCGATCATGACGGTGGCCGAAGAAGATCCCAAGCTCGCCGACTTCTCCTCGTCCGTCTTTCGGGTCGAAGACGGCGGTGCCCGCGTCTTGAAGCCGGGCATCGTGCCCGGGTGGGAGAATCGCTCCTGGTTGTGGTCGGAAGGTCGACCTGATGAGGATGAGCGTCATCCTGTGGTCACGCGATCAGCTTCGATCCTGCCGTGACGCGCTCCGAGCCGCCGTCCGCTCTACTACGGGCTTCGCGAGGAGGCCTTTGAATGTCGCCGTCTCGCCGAAGCCTAGATCCGGGGTGGTCGGGTGCACGGAGGCCATGTCGAACATGTCACCGAGCACGTAGCTAGATAGTAGGGGTCGCTTCTTGATGTCCACGAACTGGTCGTCCAGCGTCGGCATATACTTCACGACTATCTGAGGCCGCGCCGCCTTCGCGGCTGCCATGGCGGCGTTCGCGGCGTCCAGGGCTGCGACGGAAGGATCCACGTCGGAAGGCGCCATCGCAGGCTCGTTGTTTTCCGTGACGACGGGCACGGCCTTCTTCTGCAGCGATCGGAAGGCGTACGCGACGGCCGCCGCTACCATGATGACGAGGCCGAGAAGCCTGATCGTGTTGCGTACCTCGAGGCTCTTGAGTTCTTCGACCGCGGCCTGGAGTACCAGCAACTCGTGTTGCAAGTCGTCTTTCATGTCATCTACCAAAGGGATCGATTTTTTATCGATCGCCGAGCACGTACAAGGTGTAGAGATGGACCACGAGCGACAGGACACCCACCCACGTGCATGCCACCGTCGCGGGATGTTCGGCCGGTTGGCCCGCGAAGAGCGGGTCTATAGGGGCGTGACAGAACATGCATTTTCCGAATCGGATGGCGATCGGGGTGCATGCTAGGCATAGGCATACGGAGCAACGCTTCGTGCAGCTCAAGAGAAACGTCTCGGAGACCGGGTGTTCTTGTAGGCATAGATGGCAGGTGTCGTGAGGGTTTTCCGCGTCTACGCCGGCGGGGTCCTCCATGTACGTCTATATGGGGGTCGCGTGGTTTTTTAAACGGCTCTCCAACTCGCTGAGCAGGTCGCTAGGCGTACTCTCCGTCTCTTCCTCGACCATCTCGCTCCAGCTCCTGAGCCTGTCCGGAGCTTCGGCGGTGTCCTTGGGAGACGTCATCAGCTGTCGCTTGTGTTCCTCGAACGCTTCTCTGGCCTTCAGCTGCTCCTGCTTGTGCGTCTGGATGAGGCGATCCAGGAATTTATCGGTGTATTTCTCGTACGCCACTTCTTCCGCCTTGGGGGGGCATAACAGCCACCTGTGGCAGTCGGCCACGAACACGTCGAAGTTGGGATCCACGCGCATGAGGCGTTCCACGTGAGACTCCGCCTCCTCACGGGTGGCGAACACGCCTCTGACCTTGAGCCCGAAATTTTCGCACTTCTGGTTGCTCTCCGGAGATACGAAGCTGAGGAGCACGAACACGCACCCCGGGACCTTGAGCTGGTCCTCGTCTAGGTATACCTTATTGGTAGGGGTCGTCATCGGGAGAGTCGGGCTTGAGGGATCGCAGGGTTTTTAATCTGAGCAAACGAACGCGGGCCAACTTTTTTTCTGTCGATTAAGTATCCGTGTCGAGAGGCCCCATGGATTTCGCGTCCACCATGTCAACCGACTCCAACCTCCGAGGACCCGCCGTCGCGGTACCGCAGCAGATCTTCGTGCCACGGAGGTCGTCGTCGGGGTGTACGATCGGCAATATCATCAAGACCGCTTTCAAGTTCCTCTTCCAGGGTTTCTTGGTGGCACTAGCCGTGCGTTTCATGCCGGCTTATGGGGCGGTGATAGATACGCACGAGCTGCTCATGATCGCTCTCTCGTCCGCGCTCGTGGGATTCTTGCTGGAGCGCATCCTCCCCACGGCCACGATCTCCATCGGGAACTTCAGTATGTCATCATAGTGCCTCGAGCGTGCGGGTGCGTTCATCGAGGTTGGGGGGCGGGGTTCGCGCTACATAAGGAATGAGGGGTGTGGCTAGAGGCCAGGGGGGTACGGCGAGCGAGAGTTCGGAAGATATCAAACGCTTTCGGAGCGGGGTGCGGACCCGGTCCGAAGTCGGCACACATAAGGAAGCCGCGGCTCACCGTTGGTCGATCCGTCGACATGGAGGACGAGACCGTACACCCGAGAGTCCGGGAGCTGCTGGCGGTGCCTCAGCCCGCCCAACGTACGGAAGAATGGTTCGAGATGCGTTGGGGTATGCTCACGGCGAGCGATCTGGCGGCCGCCATCCACCTGAACCCGTACGAGAGCCAGTTCGATCTCCTGCTGAAGAAGTGCAACGTCGGCAAACGTTTCGAGGGCAACGCGGCGACGGCGGTGAGTCACATACGGACACCGACCGCACCCGCGTCTCGGCAGCCGCGTGGCTTTGCGATGATGTCGAAAGGCTGACATTCGCGCTCCCCCCTCTGCAGTACGGCGCGTCTTTGGAAGACGAGGTCGTCGCCAAGTTCTGCGAGAAGACCGGGTGGAGGCATTTCGATGCGGGGCTGTTGCGGCATCCCGTCCACGACTTCCTAGGGGGCAGCCCCGACGGTCTCCTCAGTAGCGCCGACGGGAAGCGGTTCGCTATGCTGGAGATCAAGTGCCCGTTCAGGAAGGAGATCGTGGACGAGATTAGCGGCTACTACTATCCTCAGATGAGTGGTCCGGATCAGTCGTCCCTCTCGTGCATCGTGTTTGATTGTATTGCATCAGGGTTGGACTTTTGCATTTCTACTCGAAGATGAAACATACATGTTTTGTACAAGGCACCCGATGGCGTATGGTACTACGTACATAGTCTAAGAACGAGGGGGCACAGCCCGATTTGATTCTCTGATATGAGTACCATGGCGCATAAGATAAGAATATACAGGATCGAACAGCCCGGGCTCGTTCTTTTCAAAGTCTTGACCGTACCTGGTTACGGGGTCTTGTCGATACAAAGCCTAAAACGCAAATGGGGGAAGTACCTCAGCGAGGGCCAGAAACGTCGCCTCGACACTTTTAAGCCTAGGTTTAGGAAGTGACATTTGGTCAACCAAATATGAACCCAAAAATTCGCTAAAGGTTGCATTCATATGTACGACTGCTGCCTCGTTTCACGTGTTTTCGAGCACGCCGGTAATATCAAAACCGGTGCAGGTCACTGCATGAAAGCCCCCCGAATGGACCTGGCGTTGTCGGAGGACGGGTCTGGATTCCACCGACACGATGCGGTACGTTCCTGTGTCCGGAAGGAGTTCCGTAGCTGACCCTCGTCTTCTCTCTCACCTTTCACGTGCAGTTGTGCATGGAGATCTGCGACGCCGACTCCTGTTGGTTCGTCCAGTACCGCCCCGCCAGGAACTTCTGGGAGGACGAGATCATGTCCATCATCGAGGTCAAGAGGGACCGGGAGTGGTTCGCGGAGAAACTCCCTATCGCCCGTGCCTTTTGGGACGATGTCCTGTACTATAGGTCCCACATGTCGGAACTCATGCGCCTGGTAGAAGGCAAGAAGCGCAAGAGGAGCCCCGCAGAGAAGACGGTCACGATCGGGGACGAAGGAGTGCCGCCGGAGCGGGCTCGCTGTTTGATAGACTTCGACGAGACCGACGCGTCGCCCGGGCTCGACGCGCCCGTACCGTCGTGCCTCATAGACTTTTGAAGCGCGTCGATCCAAGAATATCTGAGTATATGTGAGTCTCAATCATGAAAGACGCACTGGCCAGACTGGTCGCGCGGCCTCTCGACTTCGTGCCCTTCTCCGGTGATGATCTCAAGGAGAGGGTCACGTCCACCGTTCGATTCATCCTGGTGGTGTGTTTGGGTGCGATGATAGCGAACCATGATGCATTCTTGGGTGCCATGTTCGTGCTATTCGTCGGAGCGATAAAGATGTGCACGTCCGAGCAGTCTCGTTGGGAGGCCGTGGTGCCTGCCGTGAGACCGCACGTCTTCCGGGACGGCAGGGTGGTCGACACGGCGGGCTGTCGGCTGCCGACGGACGCGAATCCGTTCGGAAACTTCCTATTGACGGACTATGACGATCCAGACAGGCCGCCTGCGTGCCGATACGAGGACGTGAGCGAGCTGGTGGACGAGAAGTTCTACAAGGGTCTCTACCGGAACGCCGATGATCTTTACGAGACCGAGTCGAGTCAGCGCCAATTCTACCAGATGCCCGTGACGACGCTGTGCAACGACACGGTGGGTTTCGCCCGCGCGCTCTTCCAAGACGTGGGCAAGACGAGGCCGCACGGCATGCGCTGAGGGTTCGTCGGCCGTTTTTTCTCTCCGGATTGTTAGACCACACGCGCGCGATGGAAGTCAACCAGCGAGCCGGTTTCAAGCACGACCCCGTGTACTTGGACCGGTTGAACGCACAGTCTACTGCGCCACTCGATTACACGTTCGCGACGAGGTTCTCCACCGGCTGCGCCCTCCCGCGCTCCGCCTTCGATCACTGCACCGCCAGTTACCGCCCCGGCGGTGCCTTGGTCGATCGGGAGACGGCGCTGAGGTTCGGGGAGCCATTCGAGACGTACGACCCCATGATTCCGGTCGCGGACGTCGAGCTCTACGATCGGAGCCCTCTCATGATACGTTCCGGGATGGACGTCGGCGTCGAGAACGCTCTGAGATTGGCGCCCCCGTCCATAGCGGCGGGCGACGTGAGGCGCCGCGGCGAGCTGGGCGAGACCTTCGGGACGGTCGACCTCTTCCCCCCGGAGCAGCCCCGGGTCTGCATGCCCGTGATCCAGCCCCGATTCGGGGAATCCACGAGGGTGGCCGCCAAGAACCGGGAGTACGCGAGACGGATGGGGCTTCGCTCCGACTAGGTCCCCTTGGCCGCTTCGGCGGCCGTACGCAGCATCTGTCCCAAGACGTTCTCCTCGAGGACGTACTTGACCACGTACAATATCGCCATCGTGATCACGAGTGAGATCCAGATCTCGAAGAGCAACGGGAGGATGCCCCTCCCGGTCCCGACCCACACGTTCACCCCCGCGAGCGTCCGCGCTATCTCCGTCTGCCTCTGCTCCTCGCTCTCGAACTTCTCCTCCATCGAGATGTGCTTCAGGCGCCTCGTGATCCAGATGCCGTAAGCTAAGAGGCCCACGGTGGCGGCCACGCGCGCGAAGATCATGAACGTGCGGAAGTACCGGGCGTACTTCCCATTGACGAGGTCCAGGATGCGCTGGTCGATGATCTCGGACTCGCGGGCCAGATCCGCGATGAAGGCCGGGCTCTCCTTGAGAGCGGCAGACAACAAGCCCGGCGCCTTGTCGACCGCGTACCCGCGCATGGCCTGATACATCGGGTTAACGGCTTCCATCCGAGCTCGCGGTTGCTTTTACACCGTGTCGAGATTATTTTGTGTCGTACCTGCTACGAGAGGTGAACGATGTTGAAGGCGTCCGTTGATTATCAGCTGCGACAGTCTCAGTTCCCCGGACAGTACCGGATGAGTAGGCTGAGTTATCCGCTGGATGCGTGCCAGGTGGATCTGGGCGCTCCGGGCATGGTGTGCGAGACCGTCTTCCCTCCGACCGAGCCCGACCAGATAGACCGGGAGTCGGCCATGAGGGGGATCGTGGGTCTGTCCGGACAGGTGCTGAGGGACTCGGTGGCTGGGGGCACCCCTGAATTCCTCAAGACCCCTCCCCGAGAGCTGTTCCCTCGCATGAAGCGGCCGCCCCCCGTGGGCCAGGTTCGGTTCCGTGGGTCCCTCAGGGGTGAGACGACGAGCTTGGACGTCGAGAGGATGTCCGACGGCATGGGGCACGGTCTGCACGAGACCCTGTGCGCACAGAGAGACGGGGGGGATCCGACCAGGACTTCCATAGACACGAGGGCCGGAGTGAAGGATGCCACGACGGTGCTGTTCCTGAAGCGAACGGCCGGCCGACCCTTCTCTACATAATATAGCGACTCTCTGGTAAAAGACATGGTCCTTACTCCGCCGACGGTCTCGAGGCCTTGGTATGCGTCGTCGACATTCATCGTGGCGGCGGCTGTCGCCGTGGTGATTGCCCTGGTCGCGATCATGCTTTTCGCATTCTTCAGAGTCTCCTCTGGGTCCAGCAGCGCCGTCGCAGTAGCGAACGCCCCGAGGTCGGCTGCGGCGAAGTGTGCCGACTTTCGATGCTCTGATGTGCGTGATCTGATCCCGGGCGCTTTGGCGGGGTCCTTTCCGGACGCGAGCGACGACCCCACCGCTTTTCGAATCATCGACGTGATCCCCGTCGCCGACCCTAACCCGGCCCATCTGGATTCCGCGAGTTGCAAGGTCACCTATCAACACGGGAACGTTCAGAAGACCCGCCGCATGTCGTTCGCCCCGAGAGTCGGCGCGTGTGGCTTCGTACTAGACGGGATGAGCATGCCCGGCGGAGGAGACTTCTGCGACGACATAAAGTGCCTCACTCAGACGTCGTCGGGAAGGCCGGTCGACGATGATGGCGCCGCTGCTCGGAAGGAGTGGAACGTCCGGCGGTACGCGACCCCGGCGACCGTCTCTTCCCGCCAGTCGGTGATTTCGAACGCTACGTCGACGACACCTCCGAACGGCAATCCCACCATCGTTTCGACCGTCACACCGCCGGCGATGCCGACCGCCGTCATCTCGACCCCTCCTCCGCCCGCCGCCCCGGCCCCATCTTCCGTCGGCAATCTTTGCGAGCTGCGATTCATAGCCCCCAACTGGGGTACCGTGGGGACTGATGCCATAGAGACTCAAGTCCGACGCGGCAGATGGTTAGCTTCCGGTTCGCTGCCGGACGGAACGATCATCACCCTCACGCACATCAAGGAGTGGTCCGTCCCCGATGGCTTGGCGAACAAGGATCCGGTTCTGTCCATGCCGCTCAACTTCGGGGCTGAGGTCACGTACAGATTCATCGACCCGAACACGAGGGCGCCGGTGACGGGCTTCGGCATCGATGAATACGGTGAAAAAACGTTCCGTATATTGGCGACCAGGGATTCGGCCGACTGCGCCCAGCGCATCCTGATGTTCTCGCCGTACTAAGCACCCCCACGCTCGGATTTTTCCTCTGCATGATCGTAGACGGAGGATGGTGCGCGTTGTCTCTCTGTTGTCCGGAGCGCTCGGGCTCGGGTTCGTGGGGATCTCCATCGCTCTCTTCGTACAGTACGGCAGGTTGAAGAAGCTGGGGGGAACCGACGTCGCGCTGAAAGCCGCGACGCAGCAGGTGATGTACCTGGCGATCGCTTCGTTGCTCATGGGTCTCGTCCTTGCGATCCTGGGATTCGCGACCGTCTCCTCGCCCCGGGGATCCGGGAGCGGAGACGTAGAGGGGGGCAAGACGGAGGCGGACGACGCGAGGAACTACTCCATCGATGCGTTCCCCGACTTCGAGGACAGGATGCTGGCCCAGCAGCTGCATAATCTGGACGGCAGGTCCGCGCTCCTCGACTCGCAGAAGGACACCCTCCGCGCCAGGCTGAACGCGGCCAGGCCCAGACCGGCCGCCGCTCCCCTCGAACACGTCTGACGAGACGGCGAATTTTTTATACGCTCGTTGGTAGACATGGGTGAGCTGCTCGTCCTCGGTTCGTTGTCCGCGATCGCCTTCCTGAACCTCCCAAAGCGCGTGGACCCTCCGGCGCAGCCGGCATGCGAGGCTCCCGCGTCGCGCTCTGGGCCGGATCCGATGACGGTCACGGAGGTCACGAACGGGAGGATGAGCGACTATCCGGGCGTGTACAGGCGTCCGGGCTATCACGCCGAGAACGTGCGCGACTTCGAGCGGAGAGCGGACGCCATGTCCGCCGCGTGCATGCCCCCCCGAGACGGGTCCCGCGCCCCGACGGGCGGGGTGGTGAAGGGGTACGTGCCGGGGCTGAAGAGGGCTACGGACGCGATAGGGAGCAGGCGCATGATGGGCAGCCAGTTCGTGCCCTTCGTGAAGAAGGGCAACACCTACAACAGCTACATCTCGGACAGGACCCTCGAGACGTTCACGGGCGGCGACGCCCTGGCGGGAGCGGTCCTGGCGGGGGAGGCGGGATACGCCCCAGAGCAGAGCATGTTCGCGCCGACACCCGACAGGCAGCCGGCCAAGATGGTATTGCGGGACGTGAGTCGCGTGAACCTCCCGAACTACTACAACAATCAGAAGAGCGTCGATTCCGCTCGGGTGGGCCCCGGGGTGGGCATGCCGGCCGACCAGCTCGTCACCAACGAGGGCCTCCACCCCATGCTGCGCATCCTTCCGGACGCCGTGGACGAGAGCAAGCACAACCAGCTGATGGGGGTGGTGAAGAGCGGGACGAGCGGGGTGCGTACCCAGGCGGCCCGCTTCGCGACGTTGGACGTCAACAGAGCGCACACGCTCGCCCGACGGGAGCCCGTGCCTCAGAGCTTCGCCGGGCCCAAGCCGTTCGCGTGCAGGCCCGACGACATCTCGTCCGACGGGGTCGGGAAGAGGGGGCTCGGGATGGCGATATCGGAGTCGGGCGGGCGCTTAGGAGCGGCGTCCTCTCACGTTCCCGCGCACGAGCCGCGCTGCTCGGGGGAGCGGGACCCCAGGCGACGTGCGGTGGGGCCCGAGGACGTGTTCGCGTCCGGGGGTGGGCTCAACGCCGCGTCGGAGACGGCTCATGCGGCCGGGGCGTACGTGCATGGGACGGGGCCGCGCCGAGACCGGGACACGCGAGAGGTCTCGACCCCGCTCGCTTTCGGCCAGCCCGGCCAGCAGCTGTCGAGGGGTTACGTGCAGGGGAGCCAGGGCAAGCCGTTCGGGAACCGTGCTGCGGACTCCGTGCTCGGGCTGACGATGGACGGCGTAGGCAGACGCGGGCAGGTGGGCGGAGCGTCCAAGGTCACCTCGAACGGGTGCGCCGTGCGGACGCAGCGAGGGCTTCCCGCGGATCAGCGCACCGAGTACGGGAGAGCGCCGATCGGGGCCGGTACCCTGGGCCCATGGGACGCCGTGCCGGAGAACAACCGCAGCCTGGATGCGTCCCGCGCCGCGTACGACGTCCGGAACGGGAACAAGGCCGGAGAGGCCGGCCCCGTCTCGGACCCCCGCACGTTCCAGCTGGCGAACGAGCGAGACACCGTGTCCCACAGGGTGTCCGGTCAGAACAGGGGCTTCAGGAACGACTCTGGCCCCGTCTTCGTGGGCGAGACGACCTGCGGCCCCACGGGACCGGTCGGACGCCTGCCGGGCGCCCGCCGGCCACCGCAGCGCATGGGACTACGCGGCGGTCCCCTGTACGACCACGAGCCTCGCCCAGGACGGAGTCTACAACGACAGGGTAGACGAGCTGGATATGGCAGAACGCCAGCTCGCGTCCAACGAGCTGAGCATACCCTTCTACGACATGGTCCGACGGAGTAGGTAGACTTAAGGAACCGACGCCATTCCGTCAGGCCGCAACATCATCCTCCGTCGTCTCTCGTCCCAGGCCTCGCCGGGAGGCAGAGGACGGGGGATGTCAGTCGCGTTCACGGTCACGTACCCAGAAACTTTTTTAGTCGGGAAGGCAGACACCGCGTCATGGACCGGGCGGACGCCATGCGAGACGTCGTGGAGATCTCGCACTGCTTCCAGGACTGCTTCGTCTTCGGCGGGTACGTCCGGGACACGGTCATCAACGGCGAAGCCGCGAGGGACATCGACATGGTGTTCTCGTCCCTGACCGACCGAGCGATTTTCGAGCGTTTCCTGCACAACAAGTACGCCATCGAGGTGGCCGAGGCGCGGGAGGGATACGACTTCTTCGGTCAGAATTTCACGTTCCGCAAGCTGAGGGTGCGCTACGGGCGGAAGGGGCCCAGCTTCGACGTGGACATGTCGGTCAAGAGCAAGCTGGACCTGAGGTGCACGGATCACGACTTCAGCTGCAACAAGGTCTACTTCTCGCGGACCGGCATGGAGGTGTTCTCCTCGGACAAAGACGATTACGTGTGTAGTCCGTTCGCGAGCGCCGTCGAAATGATCAAGAAGAAGGTCTTCAAGCACACGACGCGGCGCAAGGGAATGGAGCTCACGCCCGGAAACATGTGCAAGTACTCCGCCCGGCTCATACAGAGGGCGGAAAAGATGGTGAAGCGAGGCTGGACCATGCAGAAGAGCCCGGGCATCTTCGAGGTGAACTCCCACGGGTACATTCGGAGATGCCAACGCTTCGCGAACGAGAGCAGCTGCGTCGTGTGCAGCGACGACTTCAAGGAGGGGGACGCGTGCATCGTGACCAACTGCAAGCACATATTCCACACGCAATGCATCGTGAAGTGGGTGGAGACGGGACGGTCGACGATCACCTGCCCCACCTGCCGATCGGCCACCCTGTTGTACGCACCGTCGACGGGCATCACCACGAAGGCACCCTCCGCCGCCCAGCGCGCCCAGCCGGGATACGACGACATGGACGAAGACGATTTCATAGACGACGACTTCATAGACGACGACGACGCCGAAGACGACGACGAGGATGAGGACAGCGACTTCACCGAGACGGAAGACGAGTTGGGGCTGGACACCGACGAGGAGGGGGAGCACGTGGACGGGATCGCTCTCGTGATCCCCCAGAACCAGACGATCCAGGCGACCGGGAACGGCTCCAACGGCACCACGATCGCACGGCAGCGCTCCTCGGGGGGTGCCCCTGGGGAACGCTTCTCGGTGACATTTTCCATATAAGAAAGCAGACACACCCGACGGCACCGAACTCGAACGCCATGGAGGCCCTCCGCGAGCTGGGCATCAGCGCCTCTCACGGGAGACTGCCGGGGCTTCAGGCTACGCACATCGAGCGGAAGCATCTTCGCATCCTGCGGGACGGCACGTGCACGTATCTAGTGTGCCCGAAGGACGACGGAATCCGCAAGCTCCTGATATGCAGAGCCGGCGAGGTCGTATTGCTGGACCGTGCGTCCAACTCGACGCCCCTCGCGACGAGCCACGGCGTCGAGCACGATGCCGTGTTGGACGGGGAGCTGGTGGGGTCCACCTTCCTCGTGTTCGACGCCCTCTACGGACTGCCGGGGCGGCTGGCGCACCTCCCACTGGCGGGCCGCCTCGAGGAGGCCAGACGCTGGGTGGACCTGCATGGTGGGGGCATACCCGACCTAGATATCCGCGTGAAGGACATGACGCGATGGTCGCAGGAGCTGGGAGTAGACATGGGGGCGGCTATGGACGGAGGCGGGGCGGACGGGGTGATCATGACGCCCGACGTCCCCATGGGCCTCAGAGCGGGTCCCCCCACGCTCAAGTGGAAGCGCAAAGGCGACATAACCGTAGACTTTCTCATGAACGGAGGGGCGGAACTCTGCGTGATCGAGAGGGGCACCCTGATCCCCGTGGCCGTGGCCAGGTTCCCGCCGAGCATCCTGGCGAGCAGACTCCGTTCGATGACGCGCAAACGAGACGTGGTCGTGGAATGCGAGATGGGACCCAACGGGCGCGACTGGGACTGTAGGAAGATCCGAACCGACAAGGACTCGCCCAACAGCATGCTCACGTATCGGAACTCTCTGCGGAACATCGCCGAAGACATCCGCTTCGAGGAGCTATTCGAGCCTATCGAGCTAGCGTCCGCCCAGTCCGCTGGGACTCGTTCTTCCGTATCAGGGGGATGAGGTGCGGACGCTCGGCGGCCAGACTCGCTAGCAGGCGCCCCCTCTCCCCTCGGGGCGGCGAAGGAGGCTGTGGGCCCGTGGGTTCCGGATCCGGCGCGATGTTCCGTTCCGATTCGCGATCGCCCTCGTCATCCCACTCGTCGTCGGCGACGAGGCCGTCCTTCGCTTTGACCGGCTCGACGCTCGCGAGAGGAATAGAGTCGTCCTTGATCGTGATCCGTTTGTCGTCTTCAGCCTCGTGCTCCTCGTTCCACTCATGCGATCCGCTCATGACCTTTGCTTCCGAATAGAGTACTGTCGATATATTTTGTATGGGGTGCCAAACGAGTCTCCCGTGGCACCCGTGAATGCATGGACCCACTCACGGAAGCGCATGGGATGAAATTGTCCTCGATTCGCGGCAGATCGAGTCGTCCGAATATGTATGCTTTTAGATCTATGACACCATATGGAAACCGCGGAAGCGGAATCACGCGGCGAGATCGCCAGGATCCGCCGCTGCATAGAAGCCCTGACGTCGAGGGTCAGGCTCTTGTCCATCGGACGGGTGAGGCAGTCCGCGAGCGGGAAGTCCAGCGTGTATGATACCATCCAGGCTCGCAACCCGACGTGGACCCGATCCAAGGCCAGACGGGCCCTGGCCAGGGTGGACAGAGAAGATATGGTCGGCATCTGCAACGAGACGGTAGCCGGAGGCACGAAGCCCACGCCCTGTGCGGAAGCGGCGCTCATGAAGAACATCCTAGATCGTATCGAGGCGCTCCTCGACGACCCCGACGCACGGACCGAGGAGGTCGAGACGCCTACCAGCGGGCCGCCATATGGCCATCGGCTCGTCTGCGATTGTCCGGCCTGCACGTGAGCGTCCAGTCGAATACACGACCGATAGCTCCGTTCGTGACCTTCTTGACTAGCCGGCGCACTGGATCGGTGGATCGCATGGCCGCCCTAGTATTCGCCATCGTAGATGCCATGTTCAGCGACACGGAAATCCAGTCGGACAGGCCCGGGGCCGACGAATCGACGACCCGATCCATGAAATATTGCATGAGGCGCTCGGCGATGAATCCGATCGATGCACGCGACGTCGGCAGCTTCTTCCGCATGACTATCGAGCACGCCTCCACGAAGTGTCTCCCGCACATCATGCACCCGTCATATGCATCGCATGCGTTATAGTCCACCTTCCATGGCGTCTCGGCGAGAAGGATGTGGAACAGATGCGCGTTCAAGAAACGGACCGTGTGCCCCCCTCCGTGCGAGGGAGCGGCGCACGCCCCCGAAGACGTCTCGCATATGATAGGACAGCCCATCGTCTCTGCAATCCCTACCGAAAATAGGACCTACATGTCTTTCCACTTCCTCTTCGGCACCGTGCGGGGCTCTATGGGGCGGAAGAAGGCCTCCAGCGGACGGTCGCCCGCCCTCTTCATCTTGTACTTCCTGATGTCGCCGAAGAGGATGTCCTCGGCCTTCCCGTGCGCGACGAACAGGTCCAAGATCGTCGCCAACGGTCTGACGAGACAGTTCGTCAGGTAATACTCGTAGTTCAGCGCCAACCCTCTCTCCTCCGCGTAAGCCGGGTCCTCCGCCATGTCCGTCGTCTTCGCCTTCGGGTTGCCGACGTCGAGGTACACGAACGGGACCCGGTCCCCGGCCCGAGGCTCGGAACCGGGATGGCGCTCCCTGATCTTCTCCGTCACCACCACGTGCGGCTGGACCGACCTGTACTCCTTCTTCAGCTGCTTGCTGAGCACGAGCCGGTCCGCGCGGATCCTTCCGGCCAGCAGGTTCTCCGCCGTCTCGCGGCATGCTGCCACCGCCGCGTGCACGTCCCTCTGGTGAAGGATCAGATCCAGGATCCTGCCCTGCAGCTCGCGCGCCAGCGGGATCCTGTCCCTGCGCACGAGGTCCAGGCCCTTCGTGTCCACCCCAGGCTCGCGTCCCTCCTCCTCGTACTTGAGGCCGCCGTAGCGCTTCTTGGACACCAGGATGAACGGCGAGTACACCTTCTCGTACTCCAGAGAGATTGGCGTCTTGAAGAGACGTGCCGTCGCCCCGGCCGCCATCCTGCGCCCCACCGCCATGGCCGCCTTCACCTTCTGCACGGCTTCGACCGCGTCGCCCGGCAGCAGGGCGGGCGGAACCCTCACCATCACGCTATCGGTGTTGTGAACCACCAACCGGCCGGCTCCGGCGGCGAAGTGGTGGTTCTCCGTGGTCAGGTCGTACACCCAGCCCTCGTACTCGACCTCCACGACGCGCTTCACCGCATTCGCATTCATGCGCTGCGCCCTCTCGGTCAGCGTCAGACGGAACACATCCGGCTCGTCCGCGCGCGTGTCGAAGCTCGTGCTATACCCCAGGCTCGACGCCAGCAGGGCGTAGGACGCGATGGAGACCTGGTTCTTTCGGTCGATGTGGACGACGTCCCCGTCGGCCTCAGACAGGCCGTGCCAGAACGCCCGCCGTACCTCGATGGACGCATTCAAGATGGCGGCAGGCACGATCTCGCCGCTGGACACGCCCATCGCGCGCGCCTCATCGGGGGTGAGGCTCGGCTCGGCATCTCCGAGAGCGGGGTACTGAGCGTGGAGCAACTCCCCCGGAGCCACGTCCCGCGCGAAGACGGCCCGGCCGTGGGCGTCGAGCAGGCTGTGGTCGTCCGTCGCGTCGACCATGCCGGCGTGCGTGAGTACGCGCAGGATGCGCTTCTCGGGCGCGAGGCGGTGGCGGATGACGCGTCGGACGGGCGTCCAACCCTCCTCCGTCCACACGTCCACTCCGGGAAGCTCGCAGCTCTCTTTGCCCGTGCGCCCCTCGTCCAGGCAAGCCAGCCACTTCCCTCCGCCCCAGCGGTCGGCGAGCCGCTCGAAGCTCTCGACGTAGACGAGCCCAGCGACGCGTACGGTCGTGGGCGTCGCCCCGGTGACACTGTCGCCGTACACCACCTCCGCGCCGGGGACCTCCGTCTCCACGTAGCTCTTCGTCGCGGCGATCATGTCGCGACCGATCATCGTCACGGTGGACGCGATGGCCTTGGCCGGCAGAAGACCTTTAGCGGATCCAGTGGCTCCATAAGTGCTGTTGGCGGTACTGCAAAACAGGCGAGAAACCTTATAGCTTTATTCATCCCGAGAATCCCGGAGATGTCGTAGGCATACGAAAGCACGGGCTTTGAAAGAGAGGACACACTCGAACCATGGAGGATCCCATGTCCTACGAGATTTATCGGCTGATCTCTCCAGTGAATCGTTCCTATGTCGGTCAGGCCAAGGTCCATGTCAAAAGGCAAAAGTATAAAGGTGCAGAACGCAGATGGCGGGAACACCAGTGGCTGGCATTAAGGGGAAAAGAAGGAACCCTGTACGACGCCATACGCGAACACGGTCCCGTTAACTTCAAGCTCGAGGTGCTCCTGCGTTGCCACCAGCGGGAAGCGGACATGTACGAGACGACCATGATCGAGGCCTACGACTCCCTGGTCACAGGTAACGGCTACAACCAAGCCGAAGGTGGCCAGGGCTTCACCCCAGAGACGTTCCGTCTGAAGGCACTGCCCAAATCCCCGTGGAAGACCAAAGGGGAGCAGAAGCGCGTGGAAGACGGCGATCTGCCCAAGAACATCCACTTCCACAAGACCGTGTGGGGCGAAGGCTATCACGCGACCGGCAGGAAGGACGGGAAAGCCTATAGCAGGTACTACATGAGCATCCACGAGACCATTGAGTCGAAGCTCGAGAGGGCGAAGGCGTGGCTAGAGTATTTCGAGCGCGAAGGAGTGCCGCCCGAAGAGGAGCCCGCCAAGCCTCCTACCATTCCGGCAAAAAGGCAGCGCGGGGAGGATGCGGAGCTTCCAAGGGGCATATCCAGCGTTCATAACAACAGAAAGAAAGGTATAGAGGAAGGCTATACTGTAAATTTCTACCATAAAGCTCAACGCTACACGAGGCAGTTCGTCTCAGCGAGGCTTACGATGGAGGATAAGCTGGATCTAGCGAAGGAGTGGCTCGAGAAGCGTAGCACAGAGGTGCGATCAAAAGACTCGTGAAATGATATTTTTTCGACTACAAGGTTACGTTTTTTCTTCGCTTACGATCACCGCATGCCATGGCGTTGTGCACGAGCAAGACGGTCACGGGTCACAGGTGCAGGCGGCAGGCACGGAGCGGCAGCACTCGGTGCGCCGCGCATCTGAAACTCTGGCAACGCAAGTCGCAGACGCACAAGGATCCGCACAGCGCTCTCCACAACGCCATCGATGCGAGCATCACCGGCCTGCACGCGTTGCGCAGACACGCCAAGGGAGAGATGAAGAGGCGGCTCGACGCCACATTCAGAGACATCCTGTCGTACTACCTGGCCATGGGCCCGTATCCCGAGGAGCTAGGCCTTTGAGCGGATCGGGATCTCACATCTTCATCGCCAGCTGCATCGAGTTCCACCTCCTCCTCTGGAACGGATCCGTGGCCTCCGCCATCTTTTTCTTCGCCAGCTTCCTCAGCAAGCCCAGCTCCTCGAGGAGCGCCGGGATGACGCCCTTCCTGTTCTGGACGAACCTCGTCCTCGTCACGTCGCCGTTCTCGTCCGTCCGCTCGAAGCTCGCGTACTCGTAGCCCGGCAGGTCATCGAACCTCGCGTCGGCCACCCACGTCGTCAGGCACAGGTTGTGCGCCCGCATGATGCTCGGGTAGAGGGACGCGAAGTCGCACACTACCACCGGGTCCATGTACACCCCCGCCCTCGCGTCCAGGACCGTGGCGCCCTGGTACGTCTCCTCCGGGGGAGCCTCGTCCCCGTCGAACGTCCTGATCAGGTACTCCCCGCGGATGCGGCGCAGGATGCACGAGAAGATCTTGATCTGCTGGCCGCGCTTCAGCAGGTAGTCGACCGGCACGTACGTGGCGCGCGCCATCTCCACGTGGTCGATCAGGATGTTGAGCTTGTCGGCCAGCTTGATGGGCAGCATGGTGTCCTGGACGCAGTACTTGGCTATCTCGCGGATGTCCTCCGGCGTCCCCTCCTCGAAGAGGTCGAACATGCGATTGTACTTCATGTCGTCCTTGTGCTCGCCCAGGAAGTGCGCGGACACGTTCTCGAGGCTGTAGCTCTCCAGCTTGTGGGCGCGCTTGACGGCCTGCATGACGTCCATGTTGAGTATGCCGGGCGTGCTCACGAGGAAGAACTGGTTGAAGCCGAACGCCGACGACTCCATCACCTTCTCCTGGTACTCGCTGAGGACCCCGCGGAGCCGCCCCACCGCGAAGGGCACGCCCAGCCTCTGGGCCAGCTCGAAGAGGTAGCGCCAGTCGAACTGGTCCGTGTTGTAGCCATAGATCACGTCCGGCTGCTCCCTGGCCAGCAACCTCAGCCACGCCGCGATCACCTCCCGCTCGTCCTCGTAGCTCTCCACCACGGCGCCCTCCAGCGGCAGCGACTGCTTCAGAGTCACGGCGTGCTTCAGGTACACGCTCCCCCGCCTCTTGAAGGACGTCCCGATGGTGATGCACTTGGAGGAAGGCTTGGAGCCCATGGGGAAGTCCCGGTTCTCGTCCCAGGCCTCGATGTCGTAGGAGCACTCCACCAGGTCCGGCTCTTCGTCGAGGTCGTCGGCGACCAACAGCGCCGAGGGGGCGAACTCGTACTCCAGGTCGCAAGTGCTCATCCTGTCCGGCTCCGCCACCGGTGAGACGCCGCGCGCAGTCAGGTCTAGGGTGTGCCAGCCGACGGAGCGCAGGGAGTACTCGTGCAGGAATTCCATCATGGCGCTCACGTTGCCCTGGTACAGGTCGTACCGCTTCTTCTCCTTGTCCACCAGCCAGACGTTGAGCTGCTTCTTCCGCACCGCGTACCCACACTGCCGGGCGGCCTTCTCGGAGGTGGTACGGATGCGGAAGAAGTCGAAGACGCGGTCCCCGTGGAATCCGTTGAACTTCTTCCTCCTGACCTTCTCGACGGACACGAGTGCGCCGTACGCCCTCCGGTAGACGGACAGGTAGATGCGCTCCGCGACCTCGTGCGCGTAGGGGAGCATGTCGTCCGGGGGCAGCAGGTAGATGCTCGGCTCGAACCGGGTCCGGATGCAGATGCTCTCTCCCGCGGAGGTCCTGCCGAAGACGAAGACGACGCACTGCTTGGCGGTCCGCTCGCACAGCCCTTCCTCGTCATCATCGTCGTCGCTCTCCTCACCGCCCCGCTTCCCGTACGACTTGACGGTGTCTATGTACGAGCGGAACTCGGCGTGGTTCTTGTCAGCCGTCGTCTGATCCAGCGGAAGATCCCGCGTCTCGGCACTCAGCACGAAGATGTTCAGACGGGAAGCCATGATGGATGTAATGGCACTTTCGGACGGGGCGGGGGTGCCTTATATAGCGGACCCTACGGTGTATGGTCCGTCTCAGTACAGGTCTTCGTAGAGGCTCACCTCGAAGGTCTTGCCCTCGCCTAGGGCCGGCACCTGCACGGTGTCCCCGTCGTAGAGGGTCTCGCAGCCGATGCGGTCCGTCATGCAGTTCCTTCCCTTCTGGAACACCGGCACGACGATGGGATTGAACCCGTCCGTCCGCGAGCTGTAGAAGAAGCGGTCCCGATTCATGCAGCTCTTGTCGGCGAAGAGAGGCAGCACGGAATTCTCGGAGCCGCCCTCCTTGGCGGCGGTGAGCATTCCCACCTGACGTTCCCGGCGGGACGGCCGTACGTACGAGGCCGCATCCCGAACGGTGTCGCGCCACGGGTTTCGGGGCATCGGGTCGCAGCAGCTCGCTTCCCAGGAAGCGGCGTCATTCTGTACCGGCTCGGACACCGTTTGGAGGATCAGCACTCCCGCGGATGCTCGGCAGTACGCGCCCAGAGCGAAGAAGCAGCCCCCGATGACACAGAACAGGAGGAGCCGGGCCAGGTGCATCGTCTCTCTGTTCGTATCCCGTGAGAAATTTCGCGTCACCTCCCTATCCTGATGTTGTACAGTAGATCTGCAGGGAAACTCAGGAACGGATACCCGACGTCTCGGACCTTACTCAAGAGAGATACGACGGACTGATCTTCTCGGTGCGCCACGAATCCGGGCAGCTCGTCTCCGAAGACGCTCGGTTCGTCGTTCATCAATCGTGTGTCTGCACACATGTCGTACCATTCCCCGACGAACCTCACGGACTCGGGGGTCTTGCGCAGCAACACGAAGCCCGCCCAACACTGCGTCTGATACCCATGTACGCTGGGGTCCGCACCCAGGATATGGAACGCATCGTATTTCGACCAGTTCGTTTCCGAGAAGCTCGGTTCGGATGGCTTGTTCTCGAACAAGACTACGTCCCGGTCCTTCAGCCATTCGTCTGCGTTCCGCCTCATGTCGCGCTTGAACACGTAGAGCGAATCGCAGTACGTCAGTATTTCTCCTTCTGCCAACTCGTTCAGACGTTTGAGTATACAGTAGCTCTTCCAGCACCAAGCCCCGAATCCACGCGTGAGGGCGAGCACTTCGCGATGGGAGGCCTCGAATTCGGCATCGAAGTGGGACTGGTCGTAGACGGTGGCCGTCCCGAAACCTCCGACGTCGGTCGCGGAGCGCGCGAGTCGGCGAGCGAAGTCGTTGTAGACCCCGTGAGTGCCGAACGTGACGAGATGCATGATGGTCCTAGCCGAGAAAGATCATCGGCGACCGCGCGTTCCGGCGCCATTTCTTTCTAGCGAGTACGGCAGCAATCACCGATGGCGTCCCAGACGAGTGGCTTGAAGGACATCGGCTCCCTCCGCTTCTTGGACGAGGACGGGGTCGCCCTCTCCGACAAGCAGAACGTCCACAAGATCGACCCGAGGTCCTTGGATCTGCAGATGCTGTCCCTAGCGAGGGAGGAGTACATACAGATCCTGAACGGCATCCTGGGCGAGGGCGTGACGAACGGCCTCATCGCGCAGTACGACACGGCCATCGCCAACGCGCCCCCGAAGGCGAAGGTGCGGACGTACCAGCGGGTCCTGAAGGACGTCGTGCTGTGGAACGCGCACGTGATAGCGGCGGAGTCGCAGCGCATCCTGGGGGAGTCCAAGACGATGCTGCAGCAGATCCTGGCGGCGATATACGTGTCCAACGTGAAGATCATGGCGTCTATCCGAGTTTCGGGCGGGGTCTCCTACGTCTCCATCGTCATTCCCTCCTGCGACTCCTTCGTGCACCGCGTGTACATCGAGGCCGCGCGCATCATCTACCACAACCCCCTCATCATGCACGTCGAGACCAAGCGCGCGACGGACGTCTTCCAACGCTCCGACCTGCTGACGCGTATCGTGCACACCGCCATCAAGAAGGCACTGCGGGCGATGTTGCCGATCAAGGAGCTCCTGGAGGAGTACCTCAGCCTGGACAACTACAAGGACGGGATGCGCCTGGACGAGGCCCCCGCCGTCCTGGCTCCCCCGCCCGCTCCGCTCCCCGCCCCGCCTCCGCCCGCTCCTCCGCCCGCTCCTCCGCTCCCGGTCGCACCGGAACCGCACGCCGCTCCACGCACCACGTTCGCCCCGCTGCCGCCCCTGCTTCCCAACGACCCGTGCCACGGAAGCCATCGTCGCGCCCCCCACGGAGGTCTCGAGCGATGTCCGGGAGCAGGAGTCCGAGGCGAAGCGCCTGCCTTTCAAGATGCGGCCCGAGGACAAGGTGGTGCCCGAGGTCCTGGCGGGACGGTTGGCGGACGGGGACAAGGAGATCAAGATCGGGCGCGAGAGGCCTCCGCCCTCGGAGATGGACGACGTCGTGGATTCGGAGTACTTTGATGACGCCGGGGGCGAGGACGGCGGGTGGCCCACGGCGGACGACCTGGTCGACGCGGACGAAGACATGTGACCCATGCGTTCTGCACGACCGCGCGGAGCGGAATTTATTTCGTACGCGTCGTAATATAGGGCACCCTCGCGTACCAGGATGGCCTTCCATTGGATCAACCTCCTCGTCCCCGCCATCGCCGCGGCCCTGGCCGTAGGCGCGTGCTACCTGACCGTCAACTACACCGACTTCGGGGCCCGCCAGGCGGACAGGTACGACGACATGCGCAAGGTGTATGCGCTGGTGGGCGTCATCGCGGTCGTGACGGCCTACTTCTTCGCCCCTACCGGCACCACGAGCAAGGTGACGGGTGCCGCCGCGTACGTGAATCCGTTCCTGGAGGACGACAAGGGGCATGATACCTTCGGCGCCGGCGCGACGACGGACTTCGGGCGAGGCGCCCAGGCGCAGGCGCGGGCTCAGGCGATGGCGGACGGGGCGGGCGGAGAGGACGCGGGCGACGGCTCGTACCAGGAGCCCGTCCTGGACGAACCCTTCGAGGACTGAACGCGCCCCGCGTACGACCGGCCCCATAATTAATTTATTCTACTCGGCAAAACGCTGACATCGACATGTCGAAGCAACAGACCCGACCCGACCCGGCCGCCTCCGATTCCGAGAGGGAGGACGTGTCCGAAGCATCCGAGGAGGGGCCCATGCTCGACTCCTACCTGGCGACGGACTCTGGAGAGACCATCGCGGATTCGCTGGCGTGCGTCGCGGAGGCCATGAGCTCGTTCGCAGCGACCTTCGAAAAGGCGGCCGAGAGGAGCAACAAGACCAACAAGATCCTGTGCAAGCTACTCGAGTCCATCGACGACACCCTGAAGCGTAACGCCGCCCCCTGGTCGACGGCCCCTCAGGGGGACGCCGAGAACGATTCCACGAACGGTCAGACCTGAGCGCATCACCACACCCGGGCCTCGTCGAGGTTCCGGGTGTAGCGACGTGTCCCTATTTTAAGCGTGCCACCGTCGCCCTCACCGCCCGCAGCGACGGGAGGGCGAATATATCGTTCGGGTCTTTGCACATGTCGGGCAGCTCCATCTCCCTCGGCGGCACCCGCTTCGGAGAGGCCGCGCGCTCTCCGCGGGGCTTCCGGGCCCTCTTCTTCTTCTTCCTACAGGCCTCCTTCTCGGCCCTCCTGACGGCGTCCGTCCAGTCGATCAGCAATTCGTGCCCCGCTTCGCGCCGCACTTCGAAGCCCTTCGCCGTCAGCTTGTCTCGGACGTAGCCGCGGGCATCCTCGATGTCGTAGGCAGGTAGCCCGATCCTGACGGGCGGCACCGAGTACCGAACGTGCATCTGCCCCTGCGCGGCCGCCCTCCTGATGAGGTCGGTGCAGTTCGTGAGCAGCTCACGGAACACCCTCTTGGTCCGCTCGCTCTTCTCCTTCGCTATCTCCGCCACGTCGTGCAGGATCGTCGAGCAGCCGCCCCTCGGCATACCGTCCTAAGTCTACCCGCCCGTTTTTATTTCGCCCGCGCCCCGCTTGCGCTTTCTGACGCCGACCTGTTCGGCGGGGTCCTCGCTCGCCTCCCCTTCGTCGGCGTTCGCATCCGCCTCCTCGACGATGGTGGCCATCCCGCCCTGGCCCTCCGGCGCCCGTTGCCCGCCCGTCAGGATGTCCGCCAGCTTGAAGAAAGCCACGTCGCCGTCCACCCCCGCCGGGTCACGCGGTGCGACCATGGCGCTGATCACGGCCTGCTCCGCGCTCAGGTCCCGCAGGCGCTGGTCGATGTTGGCGTGGGAGAGATACATGGCGGCGAGCACCACCGTGGAGACCACGAAGATCAGGATGATATGCACGTCCATCGCGGATGCACCCGTTCGTGCATGTGCCATAGAGAATATGTGCCGGCGAACGCGGCGTTTTTTTTCATGGCCTCTTGTACGACAAGATGAGCGGTCTGTTAGGCTACGTGTTCGGGAGTCCCGACGCCGCCAAGAAGAAGAACGACGAGGCCGCGGAGAGCTTCCGGAAGGAGATCGGCGCCGCGGGCCGGGACTCCGAAGGGACCTTCGTACATTTTCTCACCGACGGATGTCTGAAGCTGAAGTGGCGCATGCGGCGTCTCGTCGACTCGGACTCCAACGAGGTGGCAGGACTGATACTGGCGGTGAAGCCGCTCAGGTTCTACCCACCGAAGACGCCCGCACAGACGAACCTCATCAGGCTGTCGTACATCCGATTCGCGTCCGTCGCCAGGGCTCTGTGCGAGGCGCAGGACTGGCAGCTCGAGTTCGAACTGGTCGACACCATACTGCACGAGATTCTGAGGCCGACCACCGAGTTCGACGGAAAGGAAGGGAGTGGCGCGTGGAAGTTCCGTAAGGGTCGCTTGCCGTTCGAGCGCACCGACACAGACCTCCAGACCAACATGGCGAAGGCCCAGGTGAACTACGACAAGCAGAGGATCGGTGAGCTCGGGTGCGAAGAGGGGTCGAAGGAGGGTTCCAAGCCCGACTCCTCGAAGGACGGTAAGAACTCGGAGGGAAAATCCGTGACGGTGGCGAGGAAGCCGTTCTATATGTGCAGGTCTGGCGGCTGCGACGGCCGGTCGTCGCCGTACTGCTCGTGCGACGAGTACGGATGCTGCGACGACGACGACGATCTGGTCTCGCGGTTCGACCCGTGGTACGCCCGATCGCGCAGGCGGAGGAGGCCCTACTGGTCATCCGACGACCCGGGGAGGATAGTGGTCCTGGGTCGGGCCGGCACGAGCGCCGCCGCCGATGACCTGAGGCGACGCTTCCCCGACAAGGAAGTGCACGTGAGGAAGTGGGGCGCGTCCGCCAACTCCTTCCTGAGGGAGAACCCGCTGACGTCCAGGAACCGGGTCGAGGTGTACGGAGCGGGCCGAGCCTCCCGTGCTTCTCTCGAGCGCCTCGAGCGAGGGTCCAGGCGAGGAGCCGATCTCAGCGTCCACTATTAACGGGACGCGGGCTTCAGCTCGCAGGTGCAGTCGTAAGCGTACGGCCCCGCGGCGACCATAGGCTCCTCCTGGCTCTCGGGCTTCACGAGAGGCGCGTCCGGTGGGGCCGCTGCGGGTACGACCGCCTTCTCCCGGGCTGGAGACGATACGGGGGCCGGGTCCGGTGGGGTCGATCCGTAATTGTCTCTGCACGCGTAGGCCGCGCCCGTCGTCCATCCCTCAGGTATGCAGTCGGTCAGGGTGACGCGGTCCCCGGTCGCCGGGTCTGAGATCTCCACGCTGATGTTTCCCCGCAGCTGTTCGTTCACGACGAAGTTCGCGCCCCAATCCCTCTTGATGTCCTTCCAAGCGCCGCCGGCATCCCTGACGCGCATGGCATCGTACGCTCCCGACCTCGCCAGGTTCCTCACCGAGATCTCCATCCAGTAGGGATTGCCCACGACGCCGACCACCGCGGGCCCCTCTCGTGGGCAGTCCACCCGCCTGTACTCGAGCGGGGTCGTCCCGACGGCGACGTCCTTCACGATCTGGGCCATGGCGTAACCGGAGAGGTCGAAGTGGATCCGGTCGGGCGCGCACCACGGCAGGTTCCCTTCGGTCGGGCAGAAGTCGGTCATGGTCACCACGACGGACCGTCCGTTGCAGGCGTCGTGGTTCGCGCACCGCACCTCGTAGCAGCTCCCGCACCCGGCGCCCCCTCCGTAGAGTAGGGGGCTTCCGGCGAAGAAGAGCGGTCCGTACGGCGGGGCGTCTCCGAGCGGCCTCGACAGGTCCCCGTACCCGCAGTTGCCCGCGTACCCTCCGCTGACGTCCGTGGTGCCCGTGTAGAACGTGCAGTGTGCGTCGCTCTTCCACTCCGCGCCGTCCGCGCCGGCCGCTCGCGCACGGATCGAGAGGCACGCGAGCAGCAACAACGCCGGGAGAAGCCTTCCCCGATTCATCACCGTAGGGTAAGGACCGAATTAAATAATCGCGGGGATCGCCGCAGCGCCTAGCGATAAAAATCTGCGGCCCCTGTCACGGGGCACCATGAGCTGGAACGCCCGATTCGTGAGCACGGACAACATCGTGGGCAGCAGCCGCTGGAAGCTCGCGTACGAGGCCTTCGATCGCGCGAGGGGCATGCGCGTGGCGTATTGCGTCATCAACCTCGCGGGAGCGGAGCAGGAGATGGACCGGATCATCAGGGCCATCGAGGTGATCCGCAGGGTGGATCACCAGTACATCGTCAAGATATTCGACTGGCAGGCCGACAGGCAGCAGGGCGAGATCCACCTCGTGACGGAGCTGTTCGCGGCAGGTAACATCCGCAGCTACCTGTCCGGGCGGGATGCGGTGGAGCCGCGGGTGTTCAGGAAGTGGGGGCGGGACCTGCTGATGGCCATCGCCTACCTGCACAGCCTGGACGTGTCTTCTCTGGCCCTGACCGTCAAGGCGAAGAACGTGCTCGTGCACGCCGAGTTGGGTGCGGTGAAGCTCGACATCCTCAGCGTGTCCTCCCTGGTGTCCGAGAGCTCGAGCAGGATGCCCATCGAGGAGGCGAAGCTCGCCGCGCCGGAGCTGCTCATGGGTCACAAGGGTCAGAGCATGGACGTCTACGGCTGGGCCATGATCCTGCTGGAAGGCGTGACCGGCTGCCGGCCGTACGGAGAGTGCACGAATTACTCGCAGCTCTTCGAAAAGCTCGCGAGGTACGAGCCCCCGGACGTCCTCGAACGGGCGGAACCGCGCTCGCTCCGGGAGGTCCTGCGCATGGTGTTCGTGCCCCCCGTCGAACGACCGACCGCGTACGCCCTCATGGAGGAGCGGGCCTTCACGATCGACCCCGAGATGCACGGCCTGCACTTCCTGGTGCTGGACGACGACGCGGTCAACCGAAAGGTCTGCTGCAGGATCCTCTCGAACGAGGGGCTGGAGTCCACGGACGCGGAGGACTGCGCGCGGGCCGTCCAGCTGCTCGGCACCCGCCCCTTCGACGTCCTCCTCACGGACATAGTCATGCCCGTGAACGGTTTCGAGACCACGCGGTTGATCCGCCAGCTGGGGTTCGTGGACATCTACATCATCGGCGTCACGGCGCACGCAACCGACGAGCTCAAGAGCCGTTACAGAGAAGCGGGAATGGACGCGTACGTCATCAAGCCTTTCACGATCGTCCAGGTGAGGGAGGCCCTGCGGACGGCGTTCCTCGGGCGGTCGGAAGACCTCAGGCGCGGACTGGGCCGTTCGTTATCCACGGAAGACCGCTCCGTCAGCGGGTCCATGGAGCTCGTCACGGTGGCGGAGTGAGGCGCTCACCGGAAGAGGGTCGTCGCGAAGCGCTGTGCGCCGGCGAAGCCGTTGCAGTCCCACATCCCGAGCCGCGTCCCCACCGCACCATTCCCCCCCGGCGCTTCCAGGCAGAAGCCGGGTCTGATCCCGCTCCGCACCTCTCCCTTCAGCTCGTCGTAGCTCCACTTCTGGCCGGGCATCTCGTTGCACCCCCATAGCTGGACCTTCGCCCCGTTCTCCTTGCTCACCCCCACCACGTCCAGACAGTACGACCTGTCCCCCTGTGGCTTTATCTGCCCGGTCGTGGGGTCGAACGCCCAGAGCTGAGCCGGCGCGTAGGCGTCGCACTGCTGGAGCTCCACAGGGACCCCGTCGGACGTCCTCCCGCCCTGCGGCACCGCGCACATCCCCCCGAGGCTGAGCGTGCCGGCGACGGCGTTCTCCACCATGAAGCCGGACCCCGCCTCCCCCATGCCGTCGACCGAGGTCGGTGCGCACGTGACGGGGTCCCTGGCGAAGACGAAGCGGCGCTCGTCCGGCGGAAACGGGATCGCGATGTCCTTCGAACGCCCCAGGACGTCGACGTGCACCGTCTTCATGGTGCCCGGTATGGTGAAGGCATAGTTGCACGCATTGTGATCCGCGGCGCTCGCGACCCGGGTGATCTGGGCGCCCGGCTGCGCGCCGGGGGAGGCCGAGTAATGAGCGAGCGCGAGCTTGGACGCCGCGTCGCAGTCTATCGCGGCGCCACATGATGCATTCGGAGCGACGTAAGTCGAGCCCGCACTCGCTGGTTTGGGAGGGGCGGGGGTCGCCGCCGGTGCCACGACCGGCGGGACCGCGGCGGGGGGCGCGTCGAGGCCGAACGAGCGTCCGACGAAGGCCGTGTATGCGGGGATGACATCGAGAGCGTATAAGGACACCGCGCAGAGCACGGCCACGAGTACGATGAGCACGAACAGCATGTCCGTCTTCCTTCAGATACGTCGAGCAAATTTTCAATTGGTCTCCGTGGGGATGAACTGCCACTGCAGGTCCGCGCATATCTTCTTCCACACCTCGTCGTGGACCCTCATCTTCTGTCGGCTCTTGAGCAGCTTGAGGTACGGCAGTATGTGGTCCTGCCCCAACAGCTCGAAAAACTTGTACAGGGTGTATGCGTACGAGAGGAAGTTGGAGCGGTCCGGGGGCGCGTGCCTCTTGAACGGCTCCTGCGCCGCCGCGAACATGATCACGATCTTCTCCTCCACCTCCGGCGGCACCCTGGGGGGCTCCACCCCCAGGATGCGGCAGATGGACACCGAATGCTCGTAGTACTGCGAGAGATCCAGCTTTTTGAGGAAGCTGCGGACGCGGTCGGGCGTGATCTCGTGCGTGCTCGTGATGCGGCACTTCTTGAACTCCGCCCTGACCTTGGCGATCACGTCGTCGGGGATGACCGTGGACTCCTTGCCGAGGATCCGCGCGAGCCACTCCAGCAGGTGGACCGCCCGCTTGTACGAGAACGAAGGGACGATGTTCCGGTTCACCTCCTGCTCGTACGTCAGGCCGCTCCTCCCGCACTCCAGGTCGTCCTGAGACGTCCCGCACTCCGGGCACACGATGCTGCCCTCGTCGGGAACGATCAGGCAGGGCACCTGGCACGCCTCGCAGACGACTCCCTGCCCGATTCGCTCCCTCTTCCGGGAGATCTCCCGGAGCGTCCTGACGGCCTCGTTGTGCTCCCTGGTGTGGGGCGGCAGCACCTCCGCCATGTATCGCAGGTTGATCGTCCCGATGCCCTCCCCGTCCGCCTCCGAAGAGCCCTCCAGGAAGCTCAGGATCCCCCCCTGGCGCCTCTTCGCGATGCCCGATGCGCCCGCCTTGGCGTGCTTCGCGGTCCGCATCCGCGCCCGTTCCTCCTCGTACTCCACCAGCATGGGCGCCACCCGGAGCAGGTAGTCGGCCTCTTCCTCGGAGACCCGTCCGTCCCGCCTACCCGCTTCGAATGCATCGATGCGCTCCCTGTGCATCTTCTCCAGTGTGGAGGTCTGCGACGCGGAGGCTCTCTGAAACGCCATCTCCCGGATCCTGACCGCGCTCGGGTGCGGCGACTTTCTTATGTCTCGTCAAAAAAAAACGGTATGCTCGTGGTCAGCATGGACGTCGGCATCCGCCACCTGGCCTACTGTTCCATGGAGGTCCCGGACGAGGGCCCTCCGACGGCGCTGGACATCGGGATCATCGATCTGGCCTCCTCCGCGGGCACGGGCCACAGCCGCAACATGATCGACGCGTCCACGGGAGGGCGTCTCGTCCGAGAGCTCGACATCCACGCGGCCGCGTTCGTCGAAGCCGACGTGATACTCATCGAGAAGCAACCACCGATAGCGAAGCTGATGCGCGTCATCCAGGGCATGCTCGAGGTGTACTTCATCTGCAACGGCAAGACGACGATCGTCTACGACGGGAGGCGAAAGCTGCCTCGCTCCAAGACCCAGGGGCTGAGCGGCGCGGAGAAGTACAGGCAGCGGAAGAAGGCGGCGGTCCAGCTCTGCGACGCGTTCCTCCGGTCGCGGCCCGACGCGGCCTCCGACGGGGTCCTGGAGGCCTTCGAGAGGTCGCCGAAGAAGGACGACCTCGCCGACGCGGTGATCCAGGCCCTGAGCTTCGCATACGGCTGCCCGAAAAAAAATCTATGATTGTGTGTACGACACACGACCATGCCCGCCCGCACCGCCATCAAACGGACCACGGGAGCCCGCAGACCGGCCGCTCGGAAGCCGGCCAGGAAGGCCGCGCGCAAGCCCTCCACGACGATCGTGCTCAGGCGCGCCCGTGCACCCGCGAGAGCGGCCTCCCTCTCCCTGATGTCTCCCTACGACGACGAGTACAGCTGCGTGGACAGCATCAGGGGGTACGCCCCCATGACGTTCGAGGAGCTGGAGAAGAAGCTGCTCGCCGACTACGCGTGCCGGATGAAGAGCCTCTGCCTTCGGAAGAAGAACTTCGTGAACTCCCTCATCTGCAAGTACGGCGAGAAGCCGGGCGCCGAGGACGAGCCCGCTTCCATCAACAGGAGCGAGGCCGAATACGTCCAGGATCTCGACCTGCAGATGGACCAGCTCAGCTTCGACATCCAGAAGAAGCTCGCGAAGGAGAAGTTCAAGCACGGCTGGAAGACCGACGAGGTCGTCGTCCGCCAGAAGGTCCTGGGGCCGGACGTCCGAGCGATCTTGGAGTTGGAGTCCAAGTACGGTCCCAGAGCCGGGCAAGCCGCCGGAACCAACAGCGGCCGCCTGGCCGTCCTGAAGGGCGCGGCGGCCATGAACGAGGCGAACCCGCTGGACAGGGCCGCCGCCGTCTTCGGCGTGGAGGAACCGGAAGTCAACAACGGCAACCGCAACAAGAAGGCGGCTTTCGGAGACTACAACTACGGTCCCGGCAGCTACGAGAGCTTCCTGGACTACTACTGAGCCACGTAGTCGACGGCGTCCGCGAAGACGGGCAGATGCGACCCGTAGGGCGGCGATAGCAGTCCCGACACCTCCTCCTCCCTCCTCCTCCCTCTGAATCGACAGGCCAACAACAGGGCCACAGCACAGAGGAACGAGATGGGAACGAGGTTCTCCAACGAGCACACGGTCGGGATCCCGTCCAGCGACCAGCGCGTCGGTCCGCCCGCGCGACCCCGCCCGTCCACGCCCGCCTCGCCCGTCCGCCTGGCGAGCGGGGGCGCGTCGAAAGGGTCCGCCCCGATCCCCGACGCTCGGATCATCCCCCGAGCGATGGGGACGTCGGTACCCGCACTCCCGGCCACCTCGAAGGGCAGCCCTTTCGCCGCCAGCGCCGTCGTCGCTCTCAGAGCGCCGCTCATGTCTCCCGTGTAGAGGGGCATCCTTTTTAACACGAGCGCGTCGGCCGCGTCGAAATATCTCCGTGCAGGATCATCCGATGTCGGGGGGCGACGCTTACCAGCAGCTCGTCAAGGAGCAGCTCGGCGTGGACCTGTCCAGGCCAGCCGGGCCCCCACCCGGGGCTCAGCCCATACAATCCATGGACCCCCGCGATAGCTTAGGGGACCGCGCGTTCGAGGAACGGCCTGCCGCGCAGGCGAGCGAGCCACGCGGTGGGGGCACGCGCCTGAGCGCGCTCCTCGAGGAGGACGTCCGCCAGCCCGAACGCCCCGTGCGGCCCGTGCCGCGCACGGTAGAGGACGCGGAGCCCCTGGGCCGACCCGTCTTCCCGGAGGAGATCCAGCCGGGGCCGGTGTGGCGCGAGACGGAGCCGCCGCCGAAGCCGTCGGAGGCGGAGGGTGCGTGTCGGCGGTTGGGCCTGACGGTCGCCGTCATCTCCGCGCTCCTCTTCTCGCCCGCATTGCAGAGCAAGCTGGCGGACTACCTCCCGTCGGCGTTCGTCTTCCGCGAGGGCTGGATGGAGGTGCTCTCGAGGTCCGTCATCCTCGGGCTGGCCGTCTACGTCTTCCGCCGCTTCTTCGCGTCCGCGCCGTGCCTCCGGCGAGCGCCTTACGTGATCGAGCGCGTGGGCTGGGGGCCCGAATAAAAATGTGCCGTCCGATGATAGGTCCGGAAGAGATGGGTTCCGTCGTCACGTTGAAGAAGTTCAGGATGTCGCAGATCCCGGACAACGCCTTCATCGTCTGCTGCGGCCGCAGGCGGAGCGGCAAGACGGTTCTCGTCACGGACATACTCCACAGCAAGCGGGACGTGTTCCCCTGTGGGATCGTCCTGTCGGGCACGGAGGAATCCAATTCCTACTACTCGAAGCTCCTCCCGGACTCCTTCATCTACAGCGACTTCGACGAGGAGGCCCTCTGGAAGGTCATCGAGAGGCAGCAGAAGATCAGGGAGCACCAGAACGGCAAGTGCTTCGTGGTCCTCGACGACTGCGCGTACGACAGGAAGTCCATGAACTCGAAGGTCCTCAAGTACCTCGCCAACAACTCCCGCCACCTCAACATCATGGTCATCCTCACCATCCAGTACTGCATGTCCATCCCCCCCGACATCCGCAACAACATCGACTTCATGTTCGCGTGCGCCGACAACAACAACACGAACCAGAGGAAGCTCTACGAGCACTACTTCGGCAACTTCAACACCCTCAACGAGTTCAAGGAGGTCTTCCGCGAGGCGACCGCCAACTACGAGGTCCTGGTCCTGGACAACGTCGCCAAGACGGGGCTCAACAGCGACACCGTCTTCTGGTACAAGGCCAACCTGCACCACCCCTTCCGCATGCTGCACCCGTCCTTCTGGGAGTACCACAAGCGGCACTACGACCGGAGCGCCTCGAGGGGCGCCGGAGCCGGCAAGACGCGCCTCCGCAAGACCGAGTGACTCAGCGCTTCCCGGTGACCCGCGGCCGCTTGGGGACCCTCCTGCTCCTCATCGCCATCGCCGCCGCCCTGCCCAAGTCGAGCGAGCCGTCGTCTCCGATCGCAGCGGGGATCTGCGAGATCATGCCCGGCGCCGCCTCGGAGCTCATCAGGGTGGACACCACGCCCCTCTCCGACCCCTCCCGCCCCCCGAACATGCCGTCGAGCTTCTCGGAGACGTCCTCGACGCCCAACGCACCCGCCACCCCCGACGTCTCGAGCAGCTGCCCCAGGGACCGGGCCACCGCCTGGAGCTTGGACGCATCCACGCCCTTCGCCATCCCCCTCATCTCCTCCTCGAAGTCCCGGGGATCGATCGCCCTGACGGAGGCCACGGCGGACTCGACCGATGAGACGTCGACGGCGCCCGCCAGCTTGGCCAGCGCGGACTGCAGGTGCCGCGACTGGACGTTCGAGAAGGCGGACCGCAGGGAGGCCACCGGCTTGACGCAGCGCTCGTCCTTCAGCTTCGCCACCACGTACTCGGCGACCTCCGCCGACTCCAGGCGCCCACCGGCGCCCCCCGCGGCCATGACCTCCTTGAAGCGGGGCAGGAGCTTCTTGAGTGCCTCCGAGAGCCCCTGCCCCTGCCTCTCCCCCTCGTCGCCGCCGCTCTCCGCGATCGCCCCCAGGTCCAGGTCCACTCCGTCCAGCATCTCCTCCAGCTCCTCCGGCCGCAGGTCGTCGTCCTCCATGGCCTCGATCAGGTCCCTCAGGAGCTCGACCACCCTCTCCATCTTCCCGAGGAACGCCGACGGGACCATCACGCGCTTGCCCAGCACCTCGGAGAAGACCGCGGACCAGGCCCGAGCGCCGTTCGCGAGAGCGGGGTCGGTCCCCTCGGCGAGCCCGGCGGCCGCCGCCAGCGTCAGCAGGTGCCTGCGGCTGGCCTCCCTCGATCCGGCGGACATGCCCCCCCAGAGCTTCGCCGCGATCGCTCCGATAGGGCACCCCACGACCCGCTCCTGCGTCAAGAGCGCGTCCACGTCCCCGTTGCGCAGCGCGATGAGGGCTTCCTGGTCGCCCTCGAAGAAGGACGCGAAGGACGCCGCCGGCACGTCGGGCGAATTGGCCATCCTTCGCTTCGCGTTGTTCCTCAGCCTCTGTAGTGGTCGGTAGTCCGGGAACGCCCTGTTGAGCTGGTTCAAGAAGCCCCTGAGGTCGGTGTTGAAGTCGGCCATCGCGCCCCGCCTCTTGTCCTCACCCCCCATTTTTTTCCGAGCGGGGAACGCGCTCACACTCTATTCACGAACTGGGGGAGCCCCAGGGACCTCCCGCGTTTCTTGAAACGCAAGGTGAAGCTGTTGTCCAGCCCCTGGAAATCCACCAGGGACCCATCCTTCCTCCGCCACGAGAACTCCATCTGGTCCAGCTTGGCGAGAGGCGGCCTGAACTCGGTGCTCACCTGCGTGGCGGTCGTCGCGGAGTAGTATATCACGTCGCCCGGCTGACCGAACAGCGAGAGGCGCACGAATGCGTTCCCGACCGACGGGCTGCTCGCGCTGCTCAACGACCGCGTGTACGTGGTCTCGTGGAACTTGGTGTCCAGCTCGGGGCTCGTGAGATACACGTACATATCCCCGAAGAGATCCGCGTAGTTCGTCGACGCGATCGCGTCCTTGTACTCCGGGTCCGACGGATCCACCCCCTCGTTCGCATAGCCCACGTTCCAATCCGTGTCCGCCGCGTCGAACCCCAAGGGCCTATGGCACGAGCCCACGCGCGCGAACAGCAGCTTGAAGCGGGACACCCCGGCGGACGGCTCCGCGATCGAGAACACGAACTTGGAGCGCAGCGAACTGTACGTCACGGCGTAGGCTCCGGCCCCGGTGGCCCCCGACGTGAGGTTCATCAGCCGCGCCACCGCCTCCGCGAGGTCGGGCCCGTCGTAGCTCCCCGTGGGCAGCACGAAGTACCCCACCCTATCCTCGCCTCCCACGGTCTCGGCGAATGCGAAGCCGTTGTTCCTGGACGTCACGGCGTACTGGACGTTCGGGAACTCCGCGCTCAGGAGGTCGCACGAGACGACGTTCGCGAGAGGCGTCCGCAGGTAGACCTTGAAGTTCGCAGAAGACGGGTAGATGACGGGATCCCGCAGCGAGCTGTCCACGCATATGACCGTCTCCTGGAGGTCGAGCGCGTTGTTGCGCCCGAAGTGATCCAGCTGATCTTTCACGTAGTAGCCGTCCCTCTGCCTGGACGGGTGCAGGGAGTCCGCCGCCTCCCCCCCGTCGAACCTATGGAAAGCCTTCAGATCCATTCCCCTCAGATCATGAGAGCCGCGATTTTAGTGAGCACCCGACGTCGAGACGCGCTATGCGTGTCGATACCAGGCGCATGACCGCAATATCGAGGCATCCATCCGCACGTTTTTAATTCTCGACTTACGGTAGCTCCGGCGACATGGCGCGCAGGGATACGACCGTGCGCTACGGATTCCTCCTCCCAGTCTCCGGGGACGAGTATAGCTTCCGAGAGGCCCCTTGGAACGAGAACGTGACCGGCGGCAATTGCTATAGTTACGCCATCGGGCATTACAAGGCCAGCGCTCGGACCAAGGCGATGCCCGGCGACATCGCCATGCTCTTCGACGACATGCACGAACCGTACGGGCTGCTCCAGCCGCTGGACCTCTCTTCGTGCACGGACCTCTCGAAGCGCATCGTGGCGGACGGCATCGCCATGCGACGGATCCTCAACGGCAACGAAAACGGCGGTCTCTTCAATCAGAACGACACGGTGGTGAAGCCCGGCAGAGAGGAGAACCCGGCCCCGGCGGGCCACTACAAGATCATGACGGTCGTGGACCCCAACGACTTCCACCTCTTCCGTCAGGACATCATGGATGTCTACAATATATACACATGTGCGCCTACACGTACCACGACAACACCACTTTCAGAGTCCCTCCTAACCCGTACGAGGTGCTCAAGATAGACGCCTTCACCAGCAGTCAGTACATCTCGGACGCCTACGACTCGAACCGCCACGCGAACGAGGCCGACCACACGGCCTTCCGGCGGCTGTGCCCCGACTTCGGCCCCGCGTACTCCAACGCGGAAGCGGACCTCAACCGCGCCATCACCAACGTGCTCATACACGTGAAGCGCATCCCGGAATACATCATCCGGAAGGGCAACTTCATACTAGACCCCTACTGGCTCTTGGATTGCAGCGCCGGCCAGCTCGCCCACTCCGACTCGAAACTCCTGCGCCTCCAGACCTACTTCGCCTCCCGCGGGAAGCGCCTCCACGCCGCCACGGTGGCGGATGCCATCCGGGACGCCAAGATCCTGGAGTCTGAGCCTAGGAAGACCCCCAAGAAGCACGAACTCATCGGGCTGTGGAGCCAGAAGCTCGGCTTCGCCACGCCGGCCATCAACACGGACGCCGACCGGAAGCTGATCTTCAATCCCCGCTACGCGGCCAGAGAGTTCGGGAGCTCTGGCCTGGCCTACAGGACCATCTGCAGCACGTTCTACGTCGAGCGGAACCACGGCACGTCCTCGTTGCCGGAGGTGAGGGTCGGCGTCCGCTCGTGGACCTAGTTGAACCTCATGACGATCCTGACGTCGCGCCGCATCACCATGCCCTCCCGCACGGGCCTCTTGGCATCGTTCCTCCCACCCCGACGGTCGCCCCTCTCCCGGCTCCTCCTCATCGCCTTGCTCGTCTTCTTGTGCCTGCGCGCCATGTGGTCCTCGATCTCCTCCTTGTTGTTCCGGGCGAAATCGAGGACCCCCGCCGTCATCGCGAAGCGAAGGAAGTTCAGCTGACACACCGTGGTCAGGACTCGGACCGTCCTGGCGTCCCTCCCGTACCCGTGCCGGGCCGCCTCCTCCGGCACGACGGCCCCTCCCGTCGGCGGCTCCTTGCCCTGGAGGTGCTTCTTCTTCCTCACGTCGAGTATCGGGAACAGGATCTTGTCCCTGCGGTTGAACGGATCGAAGTACCTCTTCGAGTATGCCTTCAGCTGGTTCCTGTACTCCAAAGCCAGGTGGAAGGGATTGCCGCCGACCGGATACACGACGTTCTTGCTCTTGGAATAGTTCGTGACGAGCCAGTCTATGGTCCGCAGCGATGGGTACTTCTTCGAGAAGAGCACGTCCAGCAGGACCTTGCAGTGCACGTGCTCATCGTAGAAGACCCGCAGCTTCTCGAGCAGCAGGCGCTTGTTCTGCACCCCGGTAGCCATCCCCCCGCCGGACGGTATACCCGCCTCCGCCGACATCGTCCCTTTCTTAAGCCTCACGCGGTCAACCCGACGCCCGATGCCCCTCCAGGAAACGAGCCGCGGCAGCTGGGTTGGAGACGAGGCTGGCGACGGGATCGCACGTCCAGGATTTGAATATCAGGTAGTTGAACACGTACCCCCACCCGCCGAGCATCGAGAAGAAGGAGAAGACCACCTTGCTCACGGCCCCGAACCCATGGTTCGAGTTGCACGACCAGGACAGGTAGGCCCCGTAGATTCCACCGAGAAGCCAGAACGCGATGCCCGCTATCAACCACCCCTTCGACGAGGCCGTCGTCTTCTGGGGAGTCGCCGTGGGCTGAAGGGGTTCCGTAGTGGGATCGGTCGCGAAGGTACCGAAACTCGCCGTGGTATCCATCCGCTCGGCTCGCGTTACACGTACATAGAGGAAATATTCGCACGGTTCGAGGCTCGGACTACGTGCCCCGCAGCGCGGCGTTGGCGAGGCCATCCGCCGCGGCGTTCTGCGCCCTCGGCACCCACCCCAACGTACACGACGGTATGCCCGCCATCATACGACGCGCTTCCGCGTGCAGGGGCACCAGGTTGGGCGCCCTGACCTTCCAGCGACCGTTCACCTGATTGACGACCAGCAGCGAGTCTCCATACACCCTGACGTCGCTCACCCCGTTCGCCGCGCACCAGCCGAGGACCATCAGCAGCCCGCCGTACTCGGCCGCGTTGTTGGTCCCCATGGCGCCCAGGAAACGGGAGCCCTCGAAGAGCGTGCGCCCATCCGGACCCGTCACCAGGCCTCCCGCGCCGGACGGCCCGGGGTTCCCCTTCGATGCGCCGTCGAAGAAGCCGAGTGCACGCCGCCCGCCATCTCTCGTACCGCGTCGGAAAAAAGGCCCTCTCGGGCCGACGCAGCGCTAAATAATCGGCACACATGAGAGGGTGAGTCGGCATGGACAATCTGTTCGACCTGCTGCAGCTCATCGAAGATACGAGGATCGCGCACAGGGCCCTCGACGATCGGTTCGACGACGGCATGTCGCGGACCACGAAGGACGTGGAGTCCCTGACGAGCGCGTGGTGCGTGTTGATACAGAGCTGCCAGACGGTGGTCAGATCCGTCGACCGGCGTCTCGACGACGTGGAGGAGGTCGTGGTCGCCCTGTTGGACCCACCCGCCGGAGACGTCGGGACGGACCCGGCGTTGCCGAACGGCGAGGACTTCGAGGACGATCTACGAGGCCTGTTGGACGCGCAGTCCGCGAACACGCTGCTGCGGCACAGGATAGAGTCGTGCAACCAGGGGCTGATCAGGCGCCTCTCCCGGCTGCAAGCATGCGCGGCGCTCGGTTGGAACTCCCTCGCGAGGCTGTGTCCCTGGGCCCGCCGGTCGACCTACGATCGAGCGGTGCTGGACATCACGGACCTCATGGTGCGCCTGTCGGCGTCGTACGGGCTCCAGCTGCGCCAGAACGCACGCCTGCGGGAGGGGCTGTGTGCCTTGAGCGAGACTCTCGGGGGCGTCCTGACGGCCTTGGAGCTCGCCGCGGTCGGCGAGGAAGACCCGACGACCGTGATCAAGCGCCGCCACACCATGGCCGCCCTGGTCGAGTGCAGGGCCCACGTAGCCCAGATCCTGGAGATCCTCGGGGAGTCCTTCAACAAGCTCATCTCGCCCGTCTGAACGCGCCCGCCGAAATTTCAGAGACTAACAACACAGACAGCCCCGGCAATGGCCGCACGAGACGTCAGGCGCACGCCGGCCGACGTGCTGTTCGCTTCCACGAATGCGCCCTTCGAGATCCCAGCGCCCGACGCGCGCAGGGCGCCCCCGTTCGTCCCCGCCAGGGAGCCCACGCTCGAGGAGCAACACGTGTTCGACGTCCTGCGGACCGAGCCGATCGAGATCCACTTTGCCTTCTTCTGCAGGGACAACATCGAGCTGCTGCAGCGGCTGCTGTACGCGAGGGTGTTCCAGAAATGCGGGTATCGGATCGACCGCCAGTACGACGAGCACCTCGTGGCCGCCATGATGCGGGTGTTCGAGGAGAACTGCCGGTACTCCCCCTTCGACGTCGCCGAGCAGGTGTCGGAGTTGAACGAGATCCTCCTCGCTCAACTCGTCCCGATGGTGGTCACGAACATCGGCTCGCAGGTCCGTTACCTACGAGACATGGCGCGGCTCCCGGTGCCCCTCGAGCGGGGGCTGGCCACCAGCACGGTCGGCACGAACCAGTCTCTTCCGCGCCAACCGGGCGTCTGAACGCCCGCGAATCCTCCCGATTTTACTCTGGTCGGACTGTAGACCCGGGTATGGAGTCGAACGCCAGCTTCTTTCTGACGTGGCGCGATCCGGATGACAGGTTCCTGTGTAGAGGCGAACGCATCGGATCGGGCGCGACCAAGTGCGTGTACAGGGCGTTCGACCGTCGCGAGGGGCGAGAGGTCGCATGGTGTAGGGCCGCTCTGTCCGGGATGGAGCAGGGGAAGCACGGCAGCATCGTCAGGGAGGTCGCCCTGATGCGAACCTTGGATCACCCACGCATAGTGCGGCTCGTGGCGAGCTGGACCGACGTACGCTCGGAAGAGATCGTGTTCGTGACGGACCTGTACGGCGGCTCCGTCGATGCCTACCTTCGCAAGCACGGGAAGCAATGCTTGTCGGTGGTGAGGAAGTGGGCGCGGCAGCTCTGCGAGGGTCTGGTGTACCTCCACGAGGAGTTGCCGTCCCCCGTCGCGCACCGGGACCTCAAGGCGGCCAACGTGTTCGTCAACAACTACACCGGCGATATCGCCCTGGGGGACCTCGGCTTCGCGACCGTCACGAGCAAGTACAGATCCAACGCGTCCATACTGGGGACCGCGGAGTTCATGGCGCCGGAGGTGCTGCGGGGCGCTTACGGGCACAAGGCCGACATATACGCCCTGGGTATGACGATCCTCCAGATAGCGACCCTGAAGAGGCCGTTCGGAAAGTTCAAGAACATCAGCGAGCTGTACTTCGAGGTGCTGAACGGGGCGCGGCCGGAGGAGCTGGAGCTCGTCAAGAACCGCAACCTCAGAGCCCTGATAGAGGCCTGCATCTGCAGGGAAGAGGTCCGCCCCTCCGCGAGCGAGCTCCTCCGGCTGCCATTCTTCCTAGATCCGGACGGAGACTTCGAGACGATCGAAGACCTGACGACGACCGGCGGGTCGGCCAACTTCGGGCGCTTCAAGGGCGCTATCGAACGCTTCTGTCTCCTGAAAGAGGCGTTTCGGGAAGATTCTTGAACGCGCTCTCGCTGGAGCGGCTCCCGACGTTGACCCCGTCCGTCGAGGAGCCCTGGCTCACGCTGTCCTCGTGGATCGAGACCAGGGCGTTCACCGCGCTGATCGTGTCCCCGATCCTGCCGAGGATGACGTCCTCGCTGCACGGTTTGAGAAAGTGGCCGTCGATCCCGGCGTCCAGGTAGCGCCTCTCCCAATCATCGGTACCGTACGCCACGGAGACCAGCACGGGGAGTCGCTGGATGCCGGTCCGCCGCTCCGTGGTACGCAGGCTCCGCACCAGCTCGAAGGAGCCGTCGCTCATGTCGATCAGGGCGCAGTCGTAGGTGCGGTGGAGCGAGCCCGACTCCGCCATCGCCACGATCTCGGCGACGTCCCTGGCGATGTCGACCGCATGACCCCTGAGCGCCAGGTTCTTGCAGAAGCTCTTCAGGAATATCGATTCTCCTCCACCAGGAGCAGCGTGAACTTGCGACTCTTCCCGATCGGATCCCTGGAAACGCTGTAGCGCTGGCTCGGCGCGTGTGGGTCCTCGATCGTCCTCTTGAGGTGGACCACGAGACGGAAGGCGCCGAGCGCGGCGCGCGACAGGCGTCCGCCCAAGCAATCGACCAGCTCACCTTCGAGCACGAGACGGGGATCCGCCTCGCGCCCGGTGTCCACCGGCTCCATGTCCACCCGCCCCTTCCGCATGAGCCACATGTCGAAGCTGCACGCGATGAACCTCTTCGAGCGCGGCATCTGTGCGAGGATGGGGTCGTCCTCCTTCAGGACGCGGACCGTGACGGCCACCCGTTCGCCTCGTTCCGCCTCGTCGATCAGGATCTCGTGCAGGGTGAGCAGGAGCTGCCTGAGCCGGGACACGTCCCCCGCGACCGAGCCCTGGAGGCTGGCGTCCACCTCCTGATCGAAGGTGAGACGCTTCTCGAATATGGAGCGGCCGAGCAATCTGATGATGAGGTCGAGCAGCTTCTTGGGCTGGAAGGCCACGTTCTCCATGCACCAGCGACCCGATTCTATGGTCGCCACCTGGAGCAGGTCGTTGATGGTGGTCAGGATCTCCCCCGCCGTCTGGCACACGGTCGTCATCTGGATCCGCGTATCCGCGGACGAGTCCGGTCTCTTGGCCACCGCAGAGCATATCCGCTCCACCGCATGGAGCGGGACTCGTATCTGGTCTGCCAACTTCTGAACGAACCCCTCGCGCGCTCTGACCACCGTGTCGTTGTGCTTGTCCGCGAGCACGAGAGCCACACGTGCATTCTCGAGCTGCTTCGCGTAAGCCTCGCATCGCTCGCACGGCCGGTCGGCTTCGTCTACGGAAGGCGTCGGCCTCGACAGGAACGTCGCGCTCACCCACTCTCGCACGGTCGCCACGCTCGGCATGGATCTACTAGTGTGGGGTGCCGATATTCGGCGAGTGCCGGATCCCGCGGGGCCGAGCGCGACGAGCATACACCGTATGCTTCCGGCGGAACTCATAAGCTTCGCTCGAGTTCGAATCAAACCCATTCGATCAGAAACCGAGAGGGGCGCAAACATGGCACCCAGCACGAGGTCCCAGCGGAGCAGGGGTCGGACCTCGTTCCCGTGGATGGAGCTAGACTTCGACATGCGGAGCGTCGTCATCTCGAAGGTCGCCCCGGATGATCTCTTCAGCCTCATCGTCGCCATCACGTTCCCGGGAACGCTCCCGCCGGCAGGAAGCCCCTTCGCGGACTCATTCCGCGACGAGGCGCACGCCCACAGGTTCCTGACCTCCGGGGCCTGCGAGGGATCCGACATCGTCGCCTCCGCCGGGTACTTCGACTTCGAGGCTCGGTGCGCCGCCCTGTGGGAGCGATCGCCGGAGACGCTGACCGCATCCTTCCACCGAGAATCCACGGCCGGCTACGCGAGGAAGCCCAGCAGGGACGTGATGCGGCTGGCGGAGCTCGGGTCGTTCAAGCGGCGGTGCGCGTTGCTGCCCTCCCACATCCGCGAGCGGGATGCGTACGAGACCCTCTACGCCTCCTCCGGACCGCGAGCACCGATCGATCTGACGCAAGACTGGCGACGGGGCTTTCTCAGCGTCTGCCGGGACGTCGAGATCAGGTTCACCTTCTACCTGACCCGGCAGCAGCTGGCCTACGCAGAGTACCAGAACGGGATGATCTGCAGCGCCATCGGCGAACCGTCTCGCGAAGGTTCCGCGACCGTCTCCTTCTCGTTCTCGGGAGATTGCTGCCGCTTCTGCCGCGACGCACGGTGGGCGATGTCGCGACGGTCTCCGACGGCCCCATCCACCCACGCGTCCTTCAGGTCCGAGCACGCGCACGTCTTCGACGCATCGAGAGGCGCCACGTGCCGCGTCAGGGACGATGAACTGAGGGTGGTGCGGGTGACGGAGAGGGGGCTGGTGTGCGGCGAGAGCGGTTGGGGCGCGTTCGAGAAGGCGGCGTGCGGGTACTTCGAGCCCAGAACGGACGTCGTGGAGGGCACCCACGTCGACGCTCCACCGGCACCCCACCCCGCCCTGCATCCCTTCCGAACCTGGAAGACCGTGTCTCACGACCTGGAAGCGGTGATGGAGGTCTTCGTCGCCGGGAGCGAGAGGCCAGTGATCCGTCGAACCAGCGCGGAACCATACGGCCTGGCGTGTCGCGAAGGGTCCGAGGGGCCCGACGAGTACAAGGTGTACGACTGGGACGGCATCCTGCGGCTGATGCTGAAGGTGGACTCGGGGGATCACGAAGACGCGTGGGAATACAACGGCGTCTCCTTCTCGCTCGGCTTCCGGGCCCCCGGTCGCCGGCGTCCGGCGAAGTCGGCGAGGCCGTCCGTCGCGGAGACGATCGAACAAGAGGAAGCCTGGTTCTTGAGGAGCGGCACGACGGCACCCACGCTCGAGTTCCTGAAACGGCTGCTTGCGTATGCCTAGTTTTAAAATACTCGGAGATGGTAGGTCGCGTGTCATGGTGCAGGTCCATAGGGTGGTCGTAGACAACAGGAATCGCGATCTCGCTCAGGACTCCGACCCGAGTAAACACGTGGACGGCAATGACTCGTCCCCCTTCGATTATCAGATCAAACTCAGCTCGTTGTCCAGCATACTCAAAGACGTCACCTCCATGACCGTGCGTTGTCTGTGCATGATGAGACCCATGCATGAGGACTGGATCGCCGTCCGCATATCGCCCTTCGATGACGCCATCCTGTCCTCCGACAATGCATCGTCCGGTGCGACCATCGTCCTCGCATACGAAAACTGGCAGCGTTCGGCCCGAACCGTATCTCTCGTAGCCGATCACATCTTTGGTGCGGTGTGCGAAGCGCAGCCTCCGATCGGGCGTCTCGACAGACTGGACGTGCGCTTCACGAAGTTCGGAGGAGCTACGCTTTCTCATGCGGACTTCATCGATGATGACGGTGTGCTAGTAGACGGGTGGGACCGACACAGCCTGTTCTTGGAGTTCACGACGAATGACGGTAATACGTGTCGGGTCCATGGGCGCACGTGACTTCTTCTTTCGGCGCGCAGCTCATCGCCATATCGTTCTGGCATTTTTCCCTCCGTCCGACGTCAGGGATTCTTCCGAAAAAATGCGTCTCGTAGGGGCTACTCGGAGGATCTTTCCTTACCGAATTTCTTAGTCGGACACGCCACAAGACACAAGACAGTAAGACGCATTTTTTGGGAAAGTCCCTGAGATTCTCGAGATCGTGGCGGATCTAGATCGTTCATCCGATTCTCAGGGACTTTCCAAAATAATGCATCTTACTGTCTTACTGTCTTAACTGAGAGAATCACTAGGAAAAATGGACTCCAGGATCCTCAGCAAGACGCATTCTTAAATGCGTCTTATTAACGAATCCACTAGAGGTACCGGCACCGCTAGTGCCCCACCAAGACACATTCCCTCCGAACTGCCACGTCAGCATCTCGAAGCTTCCCCATGGTAACTTTAAGGGACAAACTCCTAGCGAACACCTAGTCAGAAACCCCACAAGACACGATAAATAATGCGTCTTGTAGGGCCTACTTCAAGGATCTCACCCTAGCGAAATCCCTAGTCGAAAACGCCACAAGACACAAGACAGTAAGACGCATTTTTTGGGAAAGTTCCTGAGATTCCGAAGGATCGTGGCGGATCTAGATCGTCCATCCGAATCCAGGGACTTTCCAAAATAATGCGTCTTACTGTCTTACTGTCTTAACTGAGAGATGCACTAGGGAATTCAGACCTAAGGATCCTCCGTAAGACACATTTTAAAATGCGTCTTATTAACGAATCCACTAGGGAACTCAAGCCCGCGACTGCCCCACCGAGACACATCCTCCCCGACCTGCCACGTCAGCATCCCGAAGCTCCCAGGGTCACTGAAGGTCCGAGCGTGGAATCGTACGGCCTCCGCCTCAACCTCTAGTGCATCCCGTGCGGCGGTGGACGTGGCAGGTCGACGCCCCCCTGGTGCTGGGAGGGATCTTGCAACGACCCCCGGATCGAGTGATGCATGTACAGGAACCGCCTACCTTCGTGGGCTTCGATCCGGAGGAGCGTTCTCGGCGGCCGGCGTGCGGCGCTCGGCGGGGTGCGCCGTAGTATCGTGGAAAATTTCCGTAGGCTCTCTCGAACCGTCTCACCAGGTCGTCATCGTCGTCATCAAACCAGAAAGACGAAGTGCGGCCGCGGGCTCCCCGGGGTCGCCGATGCGCGCCGGCGTAGCTGCCCCGAGGATACGAGGTACGTCCGCTGTCTCGGCTCCGGTACGGGCGAGCCGCGTCGTGATGCCCGTATCTCCTCTTGAATTCCCGAACGAGGCTGTCGTCGTCGTCCTCTCGGGCCATCGAGGGCTTCCGATGGGGCCGCGCCTGCGCTTGCTCGGGCCTCTTCTCCGCCTCCGCCGCCTCCTTGCCGACCTGCTCGTAGCAGCCTCTTACCCGCTTGAACACATCCTCGTTGCCCGGCGCCTTGTCGGGATGGTTCGCGAGGGCCCATCTCCTGTACCTGGTCCGGATGGCCGGCTGATCGAAATCACGCAGATCCTCTTGCGACTCGATGATGCCGGCTCTCTCGAGGACGCTCGCGCAGGTCATGTTCGTAAGACTGACCGTGAAAAAAGTAGGGGACGGGGCCGGGTGGCGGGCGTGTGATGGATCGCGGTCCCGCAGAAGGATCCGGGCGAGCGCGCGAAGTCCTGGTAGCGGTAGACGCCCGACTCGATGGCCAGATCGAGGAGCTTCCGGAAGTTGGCCTTGAACTCGTCGTTGTGATGGTTCGTGGAGCTCGCGATGTGGGCGAGCTCGTGCACCAGCACGAACGTCATCGTGTTGTAGTCCTTCGACTCCATCTCGTCGTCCGGCACGCACAGGTGCAGCTCGGACCCCTTGTTCCGGGTGTAGGCGGCCACGCCCACCGACGCGGGGATCGGCCTGACGTAGGTCTTATGGGCGTCCCACCTACGTATGAGACGTCTGACGTCGGGGTCGTTCTTGACGCTGGGGTCGGGGTGCGATCTGAGCCACCGTATGAAGAGTCGCATCCGCTGGTTTCCCTCGGCTATGAGAGCCGCTTTCTTGACGTCCTCGACGGTCGTCCGCTCGGGGGCCGGTGCCCCGCGCCTGCTCAACAGGAACATGGCCGTGATGAATAGCAGCAAGTATATAAGACGCACCACCCGGAACAACATCCTTACCGTATCCCGCCCTTTTTTTGAGTGGCGCCGCCGGCCGCTCCGACTCTCGCGTCTCGTCCGAATATTTATGTTGCTCTCCTGATAACCGCGACGATGAGAGACTTCATCGGCGTCAACTACGGCAGGCTGTCTACCAGACCACTGCAGCACGCGGACGCCATCGAGAAGATGAAGTCCATCGGGGCGCAGGCGATCAAGCTGTTCGACTCGGATCGGGGCACTCTCGACGCCCTCGTGAACTCCGGCCTCAGGGTCGCGGTCGCCATCCCCAACGGCGAGCTGGCCGCCTTCGCGCACTCGCGACAGGCGTGCGAGGAGTACGCAGCCATGCTCCGGTCGTACCTGGATCGGAACGTGCTGATCGATATGGTGGTCGTGGGCAACGAAGCAACTGCTGCGTGGTTCGAGGGCCGCTTCGCATGCCTCCTAATGCCGGTCCTCCTAGGCCTCCGATCCGCGTTGGAGGGGGCGGGGCTGGCGCACAGGATCCAGCTGACGACGCCGTTCGACATGTCCATCCTGGAGGTATCGTACCCGCCATCCCAGGGCCGCCTCAGGCCGGACTGCGAGGGAGTCGTCAAGGACGTCCTGTACTTCCTGAGGCAGAGCGGCGGCAGCTTCATGATCAACGTGTATCCGCCCATCACCCTGCACGAGAACCCGTCCATCGAGAAAGCGTTCGCGACCGGGGAGAGGGGGGCGGGCGGCTACGAGGACGCCGGCAGGCGGTACGACAACCTGTTTGACGCGCAGATAGACGCGGTGTACGCGGCGATCGAGCGGGTGGGCTACGCGACGGACGACATCGTCGTCGGCGAGGTGGGGTGGGCCACCGAGGCCGGCCACTGCTTCCACCACCAGAACGCGGGCACCTTCCTACGGGGCTTCCTGGAGCGGAGGCGACGGGGCACTCCGCGCATCGCGAAGCCGATCCCCGCCTTCATATTCGCCTTCATCGACGAGGACGCGAAGGACACGTGCGGGGGGCGAGCCGAGTACGAGCGCAGCTGGGGCCTCTTCGATGCTCACGGGAACAGGAAGCACGGCGACCTGCGCCTGACCTAGTTTTCGGGTGCGGACCGCGCGTTATTATCTCGCTTAGAGGGTACCCCTGTATGCGAGCATCCTCACATGGTCACCCACCACCGCGTACGCATGGCGCTCATCGTTCTCTGCCTCATCGCCTACCCGAGGGAAGCGGAGGCGCCGCCTCTGCTCGGTTACGACGCGTCGCTCCGAGAAGCATCGGGCTGGGGCCTCCCGCCGTCCCACGTGCCTGATGGTGCTGGGCGAACGATCGCAGAAAGCTTCTCCCTGCCGCCCGAGCTCGGCCTCGCGAAGGACACATGACAGGACACCGCTCGAACCGATCGACGTGACGTCTGAATTTTCGAAAAACGTGAGGGGCCTCGGATCCGGAGCATCCGGGGGTCGCGCATACGTTTTTCGAAACGATGGATAGGATCAAGAATAAGCGAATCCGCGCACGGTGTCGTAGCGGAGGAGGACCTTCTTGGGGTCCGTCACGAACGAGAGCTGCGTGGGGTGCAGGTAGAGCGAATTGCAGGCGGCGGCTGAGAGGGCACCGGCGAAGATCGCGAAGCCCTTCATCTGGCCGGCGAAGGCCTGGCCCCCTCCTCCCAGGATGCCGAGCAGGATGTCGGCGTCGTTGTACAGGTTGTTCGTCCAGCTGGTGGCGGCGACCACGCCGTTCAGGTACAACGACACGTTGTTGATGCCGTCGAACACCATCGCCACGTGGTTCCAACTGTCGGGTGCCAGGGTTCCCGCGGTGGCGGCCTCCTTGTAATTCACCGTGCTGCCTCCGAACTGCACCTTGCCGTCGCGGACGACCAGCTGCCACGTGAAGGGCCCGACGTCCTGGCCGGCCGCGGTGCGCCCGCCGTTCAAGAGTTGTTGCTGCTTGGTCACGTCCGGGGTCGAGAACCAGAGGGAGGCCGTGAACCCGCTCGATCCCTGACCCCCGACCGCCTGCTTCCACGTCACGCCCGGCCCCTGCTTCCCGCCCACCATGCCGGCGACGGTGGGCGAGAAAGGGACGGAATCGAGGGGCGGGACGTACGTGCACGCCTGCGTGTCCAGGAGAGCCCCGCATGCTTGGCCCCCGTTCGCCGGCTGCACGGTCGCGACGCGCGTCCTGCTCTGGGTACCCGCCTGGGTGCAGTCGCTCCACTCGCTCCAGGGACCGAGGGAACAGTCGACCGGGATAGCCGTCTCGGCCGGCACCACCACCGCGGAGGCAGCGGGGGCGGCGGCGACTACGGAGGCAGCGGGAGCGGCCGCGACCTTACGGTGGAAGCCCGGTATGACGCCCGCGAGCGCGAGGACCAGGCAGACGACCGCATCTATGAAGAGGACGACGAGGCCTATGGCGAGGCCGTGCCCTCCCCGTTTGGGGACCGCAGCGTGGGGAGCCATACTACCTGAATATGGCGATAAAAATACGCTCACAGGGCGGCACGGACCCGGGCCAGGTACCGTCGCAGCGCGGCGAGGATGCCCGTCTTGCGCTCCTCCGCCCGGTCGTGCGAGTCCTGCGCCTTCCGCATCGCGTCCTCCACCACCAGCTTCGGAGTCCCCGCGTTGGCCGCGGCATTGGCCGCCAGCTGGGCGTACTGGGCCGCGTTCTGAGCGTGATCGAGGGCGTTGAGGGCGGCGTTCGCGGCACCGCTGCGGTCCCCGGCCGCGGCGACCTCTTCGGCGCGGGCCGCCATGCTCACGGCCTCGTTCTTCTCCCTGTTCGCGTCCCGAGCGTGGGATGCGGCCACCTGGGCGAGACCCTCGTCGCTCGTGTTTTTGGCGATGCTCTGGGAGATGTTCGCCACCCTCGTCGCGAGGTTCGCGTTCTTCTTCGCGATGTCGACGGCCTCCTGCGCCACGGCCGGGGCGCTGTTCAGGTGCGGGACGGAGCCGTTAGGAAAGGTGTCCTTCGCGTCGTGCCACCGTTCCCAGTCGGCGCTCGGAGGATCCCGTACTTCCTGAAACGCCAAGTTAGTCCTTCGACATGGCGGATGGCGGAG